TTTATTGAGGTTTATTGAGGAAAAGCTCTCCTTTAGCTGCCCACCCGAGGGTGGCAGCTATTCTTCCAGGAGAGGGTACATAAGACATAACAATACATCACATACAATTACATATACATGTACATTTACATTACATAGTATTTTAAAAGAGAACAAGTGTGTAACATCTTATGTGCTCTACCTATTCATGTCCCTCATGTGTAGTAGGCCTTGTTTGAACTTCTCATGTGATGACACTTTGCAGCCCATGTGGTAGAGAGTTCCATGCTGCAGTAGTTCTGTATGTGAAGGCTTTTTTAGTGCTGTTTGTTTTTGGTTTGTCTAGTTTGAAGGTGTTCCGAGTAGCATATCTGGTTCTGTGTGTTGATGTGACACCGGGCACAGTTGATTGTAGAGTATGGCTGGTTGTTTGGAAGACAGGATTTTTTTTGAAAGTGCACATGTTATTGATGTCTCTCCTCCACAGAAAATCAGGAAATCATACGGTAACTGGATATAAAAGACGAGGAAGGATATTTGTTAGCCCATGAGACAGAAATCGATGTGTGCATGGCTATATATATATACAGAAAACGGAAGGCGGGAACAAGCGATTTTTGGACAACGGTAATGGAGCCAGTGACTCTGATCGATTTTGAACCTAACGAGGATGGATGGCTAGTCTGTGTGTTAGGACTTTTCTGCTACGCTAGTTTAACTCTATATACTAGTAATCCCCATGCAGATGTGTGGCGCATTAGCTTGCTTAAAGCGTCTTTTTGTAATTCAGTTGGTGCTTTCTGATGCATCAATTGATGCATATTTGCAACTTGCACGATTTTCTGATCAAACGTAGATATCGCACGCATTTATATAATAATGACAATATAATAGAAGCTCCGGTCACCAACCCTAGAATGCCCTATCAAACAAGAGAAGAAAAGTCGGCCGCTTCCGGAAAGCCGCAAAGGAGGCTGTTAAAGGGGTGCATGCCGAAAGTTATAATGAATTTTTGTGGGTAGATATATAAAGGATACCCATGCCAAATTTCAGCTAATTTGAGTGTAATACTAGGTCTCCAGGACCCCAAATGTACAGATTTTTTTTCAGAAAATGGCCTCCCAAAAACAAATAAAACAATTTTAAAAGCCTCTGTATCCAAAGAAATAATCAAAAAAAGCCTGGGGATATTTGCTCACTCTACCTCCATTTTAGGGTATTTGGCTGAAAAATGGCAGAGTTAAATCCCTTTAAAGAAATGGCAGGAGGAGGAGGAGAAGAAACAAGAGAGAACACAATATGTCACAAGAGAACACAACCACTTCGTGGTGTGGTGAAGCCATAATTACATTTCATTCCGCATAGAAGGTCAATGACACTTTTTGGTCACACCGCACAGTGGCACACCCTGCGGTCAGATGGCCCTATAAGGTCACATCATTAGTAGACGTCGTGGTTGCCGAAGGGCAGTGACTACTGAGTAATTATTTAGACACAAAGACATCGACGCCCGGTCGCCAATACAGAACCTGTTCGCTTCAGAGGCGTCAACAGTCGTCAATAACATTACGGACACTATAAAGCAAAACATTTAACTCCACAAAAGTGCATTACATTTGTGTATTGAAAATGTTTTTGATATAACTATCCTCATTGCGCATCTAGATATCGATATCCCAAACAAAGTTTATAGAGCGCATTTGAATGTGGGCTGATAGAGTGCACCCTCTGTTGAAAGAAAAACGATATCCGACATATGTGGCTTACTCGTTATATAACGTCCTTGGTTGCGTCAACCCCCCTTTTCATGCCCTTTTGAATCGTAACTCAGGCGTACAAAGACCTAGCCTGAGTGTCAGCCTTTTTAGGTCTTTTTAATAGCTTTCGTCCGCTCCCCACGTTCCGCTACCGGCCAAAAATCGGATAGTGGGGAGCGGACGAAAGCTAAAAAGGCTGACACTCTGGCTAATGAAGACCTAGCGCTCGGGCACCCTCGGGCGGCTTTCGAAACATTGTTTTCTGGTCTTTGGGCATCTGACGTAGACTTTTACCAGACGCATTTTTGGAGGATAGCCTGACTGCCGTCCGTTTTGTAACAGGGTTCCTTCCAATATCTAATCAGGTTCTGTGGGGGATATTGGCCGCCTATGCTAGCTGTATTCCGTAGATTGGGCTCCTGTAACCGCTGGTCGCCCAACGATACAGTGCCTACACAGTCTCGCCCCACGATACAAGCAGCCAATATAGACTCCCCTTGCTGCACAGCTAGAATCTTCCATCTCTGATTCTCTGTTGAAAAAAATGCGCATTCAAAGAGTGTACTTGCGTTATTACTCAAATGCACGTTTTCAATGTAAGGATACTGAGGGGCCTGGTGTTCATAATGGTTTGGCTTAGGGTACTCTTTGAGGCACTTCTGGCCTTGGCCTTTCCCAAGTTTTCAGACAGCGATTTAGCCATTCTAGACGATACGTTTTAATACCAAAACATTATTCATTGGGTTTAACGGCTATAGACTGGTGTATTGAGAATTTTAATGTAGCCAACGTGTCACAATGCCTGGCTACGTCGTACTTTGTTTGACACCAAGTGGCGACCACGAATGTCGGCTTTTGTGTCATACCTATCTATCCGCCTTGAGCATTCCCTGACTTGAATTGAAGTACACTCCCCCACAGTTCAGATAATGTCACCCACCCACAGATTTAATCTTCCGGGGATCAGGTGTTGGAAAACAAAATCGTAACGAATTTCTAGCTCCCCTCTTTATGTCAAAAACATTTGGGGACGGGCGCTTTTGACAGAATATTCTAACCCGGGACCTGCAGAAACGGTTACGACGTCTTCGAACACCTGCTCGGAAACACGGACTCACTCGCGAGGAAACAATTATATTAGCCTAATGTCAACGTGCGAGGCAGTGCCTACACAATGCCACCCACGGCAGTGCCTACACAAATTACCACCTACATACACTCACGAAAATACAGTTTGGTCTTCTTCAAATAACAGGTTACCGTCAACAGGTCACAGCCGTCACTGTTTACTTTTACCCTCAGGAACTGAATATTGGGTCACATTTCCGCGAGTTTAGATTGCGTTTTCGGAGAATGTGCACGTGAGTGAGGTACATCATAGGTCTCGTTCCTGTTTTCACCACAGAACCCCTCGAGCCTAAGGGCTTGGTAGCACAAAGTGTTCGGTGTCAGTCTCCGACAGCCCCCATAAAGCCTTAAGGCAGGTCATTCCCCTCTCTTTTCCGACTCGTCATACATGTACGTCACCCGAAAGACAGTGCCACTGCCACGTGTACGCTGTCTCCAACTACGTTCTAATCTACCATGACCAGCCCCACAGTTGAAGCATTCAATTCATACGAGGACAACCGCTGTAGAATACAAAATATTTCCTGAGGACCTTTTACCATGTTTCTACTCTGTTAAATTGTTACTGGCTTAATTCTCTTTCAGAAAAATTGACTGTATGTCTCTGTACGCATGCACGTCCCGTGAAGGATATTTCTCAACAAACAAACAAACGAGTAAAAAAAACAAATTGACAACAACCACTTCTGTGTTCATGCTTTCAGCTTGTATTTGCTGTTACAACGTTCTGTACACTGGTTTTTAAAGGTTCTTAAAACAAAGATGTACGTAATCATCTCAAAATTACCATAAATTGTGTCTACATACAAAGGTGAGTCAGTAACTACTTGACAGTTGTCCCGAATCTTTCTATCAAAATGTATAAATCACATGTTTTAACAATGATTAACAAAGGTAATCGTCATTTTAACTATATTAATAAGACAGCTACCACAGTTTCTGGGATGGAGGCAGCTGCTTCTAGAAGGACATTGAGCTGCCTATTTTTGCAAACTACTTTGCTATGATTCAACCATTACAAATGGTGGTCATCTAATACATGTACAAGTACAAGAATTGTGACAAATAGTCATGATTCTACACTTATTAACTACTCCATCGTAGACTCATTTCTACTTATCTTGCAGTAAAGAAAAACATTTTGTCTGATACCAGCCGTGTTACAGTAGAGGTCAGCAGCATGTGAACTTTCTTTGTAAGAGATTTAGACCTTTTACATGTGATTTGAAAAGACACAACGACAAGGGCTTTTGCATGGTTGTGTTACAACTTTATATCAGAGGTGGCCATAGCAAGCTTTGCTTTACAGAGACAGGTGGTTTTGATAGTGTCTAATCATGTCTTACTGGTAACTCAAAATTGTACAGTAACAAGAGAAGTGTACAGTATGAACCATCATTCTGTATTAGCCATATGTCGTCATCGCAGCCAGTGTATACAGACCCCACATCACAGTGGAGAACATTATACATAAAAATCATCCGTACATTTATACAACATCAAACACAAAGGAATGAAAAGCACAAAGACACATGTCTAAAAACAAAAAAGTCTCCACAGATCTAAAACCTTTTTTCTACCCCGTGGCCAGTAACAAACTCTTTCTCTCTCTCTCTCTCTACAAAAAAAGGAAAATAGCAGCATTGCAAATGCCTGTCAACAGAATTTTATGGACAATAAAATGGCTTGAGCTCTCACACAATGACATGAGAAGTTTTTGATTTTTAAAAATCAACAATATTGCAGAGAATATGTAAATTTGGCTACTTCAAGTTTTTCAAGATCTCTTATGTACATGCACAGTGGCATGAAGCATGGCCCTGTAAGTTGGCAAATCCAGTGGAAAGTCTCCATTCAGAGAAGTCACTCACTGTACACAGAGGGTTTTCCTCAAAGCAGCTACTTACTAAAGATATGGTCATACTTTTGGTTTTAGACTTTCAGCTTCATGTGGAAATTTCCAAGAACTTCCAATGATCTACATAGACTGTGCACATACATTCAAAGGTGCCAAACTTCATTGTGAAACTCGTATACACTCCAACATATACAAATGTACATGTAAAGCAAATTTTGATTTCTGTCTCAAAGTTGCACTCGAGCTTCTTCATGTCTTTTGTTTCTCCATGTACTTTAAAACCTGCATATTTCAGAAGTTGCGTAGAGACAGACAGAGACAGGCGATTAAAACATTGTGCAGCACAACGTCTACAAACTACACTTCAAAAATATAATTTGCACATTATTTATATGTATGCATCCTTCCAGGGACTATGTACAGTGATTCTTTTACATATCAAGCATACATGTCTGGTACTAGGACCAGGTCTTTTTCTCATTTAGCAAAGTGCAGATAATTACATATACTTTGTTACAAACATGGAGAACGTCACACAGGAACAGTGCCTGTTCGTCTTGTTGCAGTCTTTTTCATACTCTGTACAGTTTGTGACCCATGGGCGTAATTTGACGGGTATTTCATTGTGACCAGAGTAGAGGCTAGACAAGCTCGAGCGGCGCCGACATGCCCTCCAGGCAGCTGAAAGACACGGTGACGACTGCGGCCATGCCGTCGTCGGTGGGTTCTATCGTCAGCGGAGAGCTGTGGAATGGATCGTCGGCGTGTCCCTGAGGTTGATGTGGCCCTCCTTCCTCAGAGACAGTTTTGGTAGTCTGACCTTATTGGGAACTAACGGGGTCAGTGGGTCGTCTTCGGAGTCGATAACCACCAACACTGCGCCAGAGGGCCTGGAGGCCATCTCTCGCATCTCGATCTGCCTTCGCAGCATCGCTCTCCTGGAGTCCACCGACTGCTTTATCTTCCATATGACGAAGCAGAGAGCCAAGAACAGGAAGAAGCAGGAGAAGAAAACGGAAAAGAACACGAAGAGGTCAATGTGGGTCTGGTCTTGTCGGTAGAACAGCACTCCGTAGGTCTCGTTGATGTTGTTGTGTGGAAGGGCCACCAAAGCAATGTAGAATCGCTGGGTTTTCAGAACGTGTTTGAGGTGAGGAAGCGTGATGACCAGGCGGTCTTTCACGTTCCGCACGATAAGGAAGGCCCGGGCAGTGTTGATGGTTACAAAGGTGTTGATGTTGACTGCTTCCACTTCATACAGGATATTTTCTTCTTCCTCATCTTCTCCTTCTGCTGCTTGGCGTCTCTTGCGTGCTCCGGGTTCCTGAGATCTCTCACGGTCGTAGCTTTGGTTGATGACGACGATATGTGCGCCGGTGGTTTTGTTTACCTCAACAACAAATGTTTGCTCATTGTATGACATGTACACATCCAGCATTCCTCGAGTGACATCAATGGTTAATCGTATGTCGACGTTGGTGTATTTGGGCTGTACCGCAAAGAAGACCGAGCGATACTGATGTAGAGGTCCGGGCCGGAAATCACAGTTGGTCTGGGTCTCCGGGTCTAAGCAGAAGTTTTGGTCGACGCTCATTTGCCTGTAACACTGAGCTCCATTAACCGGTGTGCCAAGGTAAATCTCCTTCTTGCACTGTGCACACTGGAAGAAAGAGAGATGCTGTCTTGTAAAAAATTGAAAAGCTTTAAGTTGTTGGAAAAATACACATTTCATTTACATGTACATAATATGTATGAATGCATACTTAATATCTTATGGTATGTACAAATGTAGCATTTAATTTCATAGATGTACTCATATTGATCTAAATGAACAATTAATTTCCATCAGGTCACCAGAGGGGGCTGCAAGGAATTCTGTATTTCATATCTAATAAATTTCAGTATCAGTTATTTGGCCAGAAAATTACAACTTTTGTTGATTTGGGGGATGTAGGATTGAGCTTCAATGTAGAAGAAAGTGTTTCATTTTAAACTTTATAAATATTCAGATGACTGCCACAATCCTACCTGTTGTTGCCAACAGTCTTCACTCTTGGTACACTTTGTCTCGGTGTTGTTGTGGCAGTCACACTTGGTTCCATCCTGTTCACAGATGCTGCCATGGCCGTTACACTGACACCTTTAGGAGTAACAAACACAAGCAAATCATTACTACTGTACTTTTCAAGCAACATCACTTGCTATACAAGCGAGGCATCAAGAGAACTACATGTACAGTGTAGTATGTACATGTTTGTGTACAGTGACATAGCGGGAAGAAAAAGTTACTATAACTTGCAGCAGTTTTTGCATTCAATAACACTGAGAAAACTAGTCTTGAAGTCGTGCGTTACAGTGTTAAATCAAGATTAAGCATGAACCAAAATCCATAATTATAACTGTCTACTACTGAGCTTCAACAAACAACTTGACCCAAGTTTGTAGAAATACCAAATACGTAGTTTTGAACCTGCAAGTTTTTCAAAAATGACAACAACGTTCATTTTGCCCTTTTTGGGAAGATAACTTAAACTATGTTAATTCATACATGACCTTTTTTTACTCACTTTGTGCAAACTGTCCGATGACTATCCCTTTGGGGCCGGGGAAAGTATCCCACCAGGCAGTTCTCACACCTCTCTCCATCGCTGAAGTTCTGACAGTTGACACACACGGCACTGTCTGTGTCACTTCCCTTCACCACTAACTCACCTGTTGTGGTCATGTTGCGTCCCTAAAAAATAACAGAAACAGTACAGCAACTTGAGCATATAAGTCTGATGTCAATGCCTCAGAGGATGTCTTTCATTATCCCCTTTCTGTCTGCTCCTAAGTCATCTCTTATCTTGAATAGACTGAAAAAACAGTCAAAGCTTGCATGTATATTCTTCCCTAGTTCTTGACCCAATAGAACACGAGCAATAATGACAAATTCTAACCTGTAAATTTGGTTTCCCTTCATATTTTTGTTTCTGTATACCCTGTATTATGTTTCTTAACTCTTTGTCACTTGTGTTTACTTATCTTAAAATCTTACATCAATTCTCTGTAGTCTGAGTCTGAGTAAAACAGTATGACAGAATTGAACGGTGCTACCCAGCCATCTTGAAAATGCAATGAATAAAAGAAACGAATAAATAAGTCAATTAAACATCAAAGGCCCTTACCGAAAATAACAGCGGGTCAAACTCCATCACTTCAAACATGCTCCTGCTGACACAGACATGGCTGTTGTAGTTGCAGAACTCCAGACATGGGATACAGGAGCCGTTGTTCCTGGCATCTCCCACGTACAGAGGCTTACACTCCTCACACTGACGTCCCTGTGGATGGCACGACATATATTTAGCTCCTGAATGCTTCAGAAATTTCACAGAAAATACACTGTAAGTCAGTACATCGTAATTATGCTTGACAAGTGTGATCATAAAGTGCAATTTTATATGCATGTCACACTTCCCTTCTGTTGACTAGCTAGAGTTGACACAAGTGTCTAGTGGATGCAGGAAAAACCTAGCATTTTTTTCAGGCTAGAAAACCTTCTGTCTGAGGGAAATATGGTCATCGTGAAAACTCTACTGTTGCTTTTCATATGTTCAAGACAACAATAGAAAGAACAGATGAAATAGCTACTAATCACTATGGCGACAACCTTCCTGTTGAAGTATTATGTTTTGTCAGCAGGACTCCCCTACATACCACAGTATAAGGACAGGCCACCTCACCTGTGTGTTGTTGACACACTCTAGACAGATGTCTGTGTGAGTGGCGTTGGCACAGTTGCTGTGGCCATTGCAGCGACAAGGCACGGAGCAGTTGTCCCCAACGTAACCGAGAAACACTCGCAGACATCCGGCAAGGTGCATGTTCCGTTTGCACAGCCCTGCCTGCACACGGGTTTGCACACTCCGTCCCTGAAGAATACATAGCACAAAATAAAAGGGTAACTATGAAGGCTACGACCCTGAGGTTGCCAAAAAATCATAATCCTTATCAATTTACTTGCCTTGGTAAGGCAGAAAGTTCCAAAGAAATTTTTTATACTTCAAAAGTCCAGTAGGTTGACAAGAACGCTTTAAGAAGGGGTTAAAGACCAAAACAGTTTAAGACATTGATTTCGGAACTGTGTGATTACACAATGTACATGTACAATGAAACAGGAGTAAAAATGTTCAATTCTGCTCCTTCCCGAGCTTTCAAAACGGAATAGAAGTACAAGTAATCCCACATAACGTGCCCTCACTTTTTCTCGTAGCCAGGTTTACATTCACAAGTGTAGGACAGCGGGGTGTCGATACACTGTTCGTTCTCCTCACAGTGGAAGTGGCCATTCAGACATTCGTTCTCGGGCGGACACTGCCTGAACGCCCAGGTTCCGGAGGCGTGCCTGCCGATGCTGACGCTCAGGTTCCTGATGTCCTCCGGTACGGCGTCCACCGTGGGCAGCGTGATGTTGTTCTGTAGGCAGATGCCGTCGTTGATGGGGCCGTTCAGCCCGCCGGCCATACAGAAGCCCTCGCCATTCAGACTGTCCACGGCGCACCAGCCACACTGCAGGTGGGCCAGGCAGGTGGAACACTGGGTGTTGCTGATGCAGGCCTTGTTGCAGGAGTCTGACGAGTGCTGGATGACGCGGCCACATATGCCGTTGGTGCAGCGCATTGGCATATAGGACGGGCTCATGCACTGGAACAAAACAACCATAATAAGTCATGTAGAACGTTTCAGAAATCGAAAAACATTTCCAACTTCACCCAAAACATCCCATTAACTTTTCCTCCAAAAATTTGATTTTGCCCTGTCAAACACAAATAACTTCTTATTCAGGTCATTACTTCATTCCCAAGGGCTGCGTTGAGTACTGCTTTGAGTAGTGTCTGTGTATGTGCATGCATGCGTGTCTTTCTGACCTACATTGTGTGAGAAAAGCCTGCCATGTTTCCATTTCAGAGACACAGTTTTAATCAGGACTACAGCAGACCTGGCCCAGGCTGTCGCTCCATACACACTCCTGCCATCCTCCGTCTGCCCCTTTACTCTCCAGGCAGTCTGTGCACGTCGTGTGCTGGTGGCACGGCGTGGGACATTCCATCGGAGGCACCGACTCCACTTCATAGGGGGAGACGGTGAGGAGGTTGGTGGCGAAGCAGGTCCAGTCGTACGCCGGGGTGGGGCTGAGGACGCGTCGTGTTTCACCTGAGGGGAGGTATTGAAGTAAGGATGAGAATGGAGGTGAAATATTACATCCTACAGATGACTGAAATGTTTGCTTTTTTGCCCAAGCAGCCACCTCGTCAAGCCTGTCACCTAGCCATGAGACTGCTTGAAGGCCATCTGTCTAAGCAGTAAAATTTACCTTCAAGTTGGTCCCCTGAGTGGCCTTCTTGGACACATTTGACTGTATATAAAAATGGTATTAATATAATATTAATGTTATTTCTTATTTTGAAAGTTGTTCACCATATACAATTATATCTACACGTGTACATTTTTGTATGCTAGTTTATAAGTCTATAGCGATATGTCCAAAGTCTACACTGTTGAGTTATCTTCTGAATGTGTTACTGTCCCATGAACCATAGAGCAGCCTGGACAGGATTTTCAGCTGGCCCTACCTGAACGTTTGAACTGTCTGGACCACATGCAGGTGGAGAAGGCCTTGCACTTGTCACAGTCGGAGGCCTCACAGGTCATGGAGGGACAGCTCTCTACCTGGCTGACCACACGCTGCACCACGTGGCAGCTGTTCTCGTTGCTACAGTCCCCGCCGCTGGCGATACATGCGCCCTCCGGACAGTTAGTGCACCACTGACACGTCTAGTAGAGGAGAAAAATACAATGTGGTCAATATGGACATCAGAAAGTTTTTCTGTTTCAGCATAGTCTTCATTTCTATATTAAGTCTAATGTATGTACAGTAACTGTATTATCATTATCACATGATCAGTGGTGCACAGTCAGGCAATATCTTGCTGTTGTATGAAAGCACAAATGACAGTCATGTCATGCCTTTGTAATCTAAATCTATCTTGTAGATGAGATGAGATGAAAGAATGGATTCAGATAATGTAAAAAGAGAATGAATTTGCAAGTAAACCAAATGCTTGTCTGAAAATCTTTCAGAACAAAATCACAACAGTCGATTCTCCATGCTTTGAGATCCATGAAATTCTACATCATCAAAAGTAAAGTCTTTTTAAAATTCACCTGTACGTTGTTTGGACTCTGTGGATGGCTGCTCAGACATTCCACACATGACGGGAAGCTCCCACACTGTGGCGACAGGACCGACAGGTTACAGGTGGAACCATCCGTCTCCTGCGTAACGCCACCGTTAGCTGCGTCGTAGCACCTGTGCAAGGTGTGATACCAAGGACATTACTAACACTAACAGTAAACCTTTCACTCTAAACTTCATGGTGTGATACATTGTACTCACACAAATGGAGATCTTTCAAATAAATGAACAGGTGCTGTACGGTAGAAAATTTGGGAAAGTCCATCTTCTTTGCTTGTAGGAAATAACAGATTCTACTATCATCATGCTACTTACCTGTCAGGAGGCCCTTGGGCCTGTGAGTAGCAGTACGTGACGTTAGGCCGGGTGCTGTTGACTGGGTACACCAGCTTACAGCTGAAACAGTTCTTAGCCAGACACTGTTCCTGGGTGGTGTAGAACTCGCAGGGGTCGGGTAAGGTCAGGGCCTGCAGGGTGCCGAAGGTCGTGCCTCCGTAACCACCCGTCAGGTAGATTTGGTCGTCATGGGCAACCGCAGCCAGGCCTATCACAGGAGGGAACTCATCTCCGATTGTAGAGTTTTCTGTAAGCAAACAATCTTCTTTAGAGAAAAAGATACTCTACTTACAGGGAGCTTACAGAGAGGAGCAAGGGGCCAGTTTCTGGTCTGAGCACTGAGGCAGTAACTGAGGACATTTAAAAAAACAAACATACAGATATACATGTACCCCCACATGTAAAGAAGTAATGCTTTATCTCAGTAACTTGACATAACATTTACAACATACATGTACATTCCACTTCTAAGTAGCAAGACTTTCACAGTTTTGTGTGACAAATATTCATACTGTGTTGTATGTAGTGATTTTTCCTGTCACTTTTCTGGGCTTCTTTCTGTAAGCACAAACTGCCATGAACTGGAAAATACTTGTTCTGGTTTCATGTTCATGGTTTTGCCTACAAGATCTGACCACAAACTCATCCCATCATGAACAAGTTCTCTATCTTGCATTCTGTTAATTCAGTTGTCTCAACCACAAACTTTAAACATTGCAAACAATGCCTTATCTATCCTTCTACCATAAAATCAAGTCCCTGTGAACCTTAGTTACTTTACAGTATCAATATATTGTGCTTACCAATTGTGGACAGGTCCAACCATGTGTTACACTCATATCTGTAGACCAGAATGTCATTGGTGAAGGAGATGGTGTCTGTTCTACCCCCCAGGACCAACATGGACTCTCCCAAGTGGACTGCTGCATGGAAGAACCTTGGCAGAGGCTGTAAAAATAATTAAGTTACATGTATGATTTACAATTAGCATAAACAGAGTTTTCAAACAGTGAGATAAAATGGAATATGCCTTTCTCATCTAAAAACTTACATGAAGATTTGTAACAGTACCCCAACTTTTTTTTACATTTCTTGCAATTTCATTCATAACGGAAATATGAATGTGTCTGTCTAGTTGTAAGTCATACATTGTAAGTCGGGGCTTGAAATACCAGGTTCTGCAGTTTTGCAGGCTGTTAGAAATTAGAAATTTAGATTGACATGAAGAAAGTTTTCCACCACTCCAAAATGGTTGCTGGTTAGAGCCCTGATAGTGAGTGAGTGAGTGAGAATCTGAAATATTTTTCTATAGTTGGGTATACTATACTGAGGCCTGTAAAACCCAATCTTACCCTGATGCTGTCAGCAGGGAAGATGATGCTCCACCTCAGGTTTCCAGAGTCAGGGTAGTGAAGGATGTACAGGTCAGCCGCTGGCTCCACACGGTCCAGAGAGAACCGGTAACCACCGTGCACGAAGAACGACTGGAAGTCAGGGTTGTACACCGCAGTGTGGCCGTATAAACCTTGGAGGGCAAAGGGAGAAAATTACTGGGAATGACCGGAACATGCTTCTGTGAGAACTGTCACATTTAACAAGTAAACCTACACATGGCACATAAATGAATACTTCATCTGCACATTTGTAGTATATCACGTACCATGCAAAAAAAAGACACCTTTCTCTCCTTGCTAATAGCTTTCACAATAAGGATACAATCAAGATATGGAAAGTTATTCTATAGCAATTATCTTCATCAGCTGTGGCTATATGCAAAATACAGGAAGGTTGTAGTCCAATCAGTTGTCTTGTTACAACTCATGTTCCAGACTGAAGTATCTACTTTGTAGAACAAGAGGAAATTCCTCGGGACAACAACCCTGTAAGCACTGTACATAGCGTATGTCTTCGCTGGCACAACTAGAGAAAGATTGGGTCTGCATGGAGCTAAACTGGTTTGAGATCCCTTTCACGTTATTGTGGTGTCATTTTACACTGACCTCTCCTGCTCACTTCTAAGTTTATCTCATTTGGTTTTGTCTACTACTGATTAATTGTAATAGTTTGTTCTTTTACTTTCTTTGACTGTATTGCATTGTAGCGGATACCAAGAAGAATAGCGGATTACAAGTGTTAAATGGGTTATAACACTAATGGAGATCCTAAAAAACAAACAACACAAACAAAAAAACAAACATACCAGTGGGAGGGGTGCCGCCGGCGCTCCTTGTGTGCCACGTTGCTGTTTGGAAGTCGTACTCCCGTACGTCAGGATTGAAGCCATGTTGCGGAGAGTACCCACCCAGCAGCACGAAGGACCCCTCCCCCCTCAGGCTCATGCTGTGGCCTGCTATGCTGGGCCATGGCGGATCCTGCAGAAAAAAATATGTGTTGTTTACATGCTCCAAAAAATAAGACTAGTGCCCGTCCAAGTTTCAACTTGGAAGATAAGAACTAGAGGCTGTATGTACATGGAGGTGATCAAGTTCACTTCAACCAGAGTCACTCTACATATGTATCTGCCTCACAACCGAGGGAACGCAGAAGACAATATTTTCGGGCTTTCCTAGACTTTGAGCTTTAGACATGATAAACATAACCATCAGCAATACAGACTATAATATGCAGCAGGCATTAACCGTAGACCTTTCCTTACATTGTCCTTTAAAACTTTTTGTAGTGCATGTGGTACTTAGAATTTTTTGGTTTCCTATCCTGTCAACTAAACTTTTGAAATACATGTAACCATTTATGTCTTTATTAGGACACAAAAGTCCCTGCGAATCAAGATTGATTTAGACTACAGGATTTAGGGATTTTCTTTTACACAACCAATATTGTCTCTTACTGTGCTTACATGTATGTTTCGGTGTCTATCAGACATCTTCTTCAGAGTTCCTAAATTGGAGTTCTGCTTTTCGTTACTATATGTAGCCAATGTAGGTGGCGCTTTTGGGCCAGAACACTGTCCCAAACATGGCTGACACTATAGTACTAGCTGCCTTTTGTAGCACTAAGATTAAGAAAGACAACACTTAGTTCACCTCCAGATCTGCCCACTCCAGTGTGTCCAGGTTCAGCAGGATGAAGGCGTTGTCCTCCCCGGTGGCGGTGACTCCTCCGTACACGTACAGCAGGTGGTTCTCGCCCGGCTTCAGAACCGCCCGGTGGAAGTACCTGGCCGTGGGGACCGTCTGGCCGGACGCTACCGTGGTCTCATGATGCGACCAGGCCTTTCCCGCGATGTCATACCTGTTTAAAGGCAAAAACAGCTGATTTCAGTGGCAGCTCTGGAGAAGGGGTGCAGTACTTATGTTACATGCATTTTCATAGGGTTGTGTAAATAGAACGCCCTCCCGTTCTAAACCTTCTTTACCAGGAAGCAATATCTCATGAGATTGTACGTGTAAGACACTAACAGCATAAAACAAAATATTTTAGTCTTAACATTAAAATGCTGGACCAATGTGTAACGTCCACTTAGATTTATCTGCTGGTTACGTAAATCAAAACCGACTGGAAGACAACTTGGCAAGGTGCCACTCTCCCTGGAGCATGTGGGGCCACATGAATTTGCCACTTTGAAAAACAATTTTTTGTGTTGATGAGATCTCTACTACAGCACCCCCAGATTATAATGGGAAATGTTGCATTGAAGATCTGTTTTGATTCACCTTTTTTAAGGTGGTGGACATATTAATTGGCTATATCTTGCCATGTCCTGGATGCTATGGACTCCCAGCCTGAGTCTTACATGTAACTGTTCTAAACTGGAACTAACGGAACAGAGCTAATGGAACTAACCTATAGACGTCCCCCAGTATGCCGTAGGCAACGGATATCCCGCCGTACAGCCAGAGCGCGTTGTGGTCGTCCAGCACCATGCTGTGTGCCATCCTCATGATGGGGTCCCTGCTGGCGTTACTGCCGTCTTCACGGACAGGGTTTCGCAGCGTTTCGAACACGGCCTGGTACGGGTGGATCTTCTCACTGCAGTCTGGTCCTGTGTAACCTTCACTGCAGATGCACCTTTCCTCTATCTGCAAAGATATTTTTTCCTTTCAGTGTGCTTGCCGAATGATGGAGAATAAACTGGTCTTGAATTTACTCAGTAAGTCAGAAATCTTTATGCTTCCTTCAACATTACTGAAAAAAAAACTTTCCAAAATTGCCACAAATTTACTCTAAAAAATGGGTTAAAGATCTTACTACCACATAAACAATATTGTAAGGTATGCATACATATTATTTTCTGCTGAAATTTGCTCTGAAAATACATGAAGTTGCACTCTGACGGTCAGAAATCCTACTTGCATAGAGAAGCATGCCCCTGGACATCCTTAGATGTCTTGTGCAATTTTGCCCCCCCCCCCACACACACACAAAGTTGAGTCTAACGAAAATGCTTTTCCTTGTGCTTACCTGACTGCACTGTCCATGTTGTGAGCAGTTGTTAGGGCACAGCAGGTCAGAGCAGACAGTGCCACCGTAGCCATCTTTACACACACACTGGTGCCCCCGACACTCCATGTTCCCTGTACACTCATCCGGGCAGCTGTGGACCACGAAGGTGGCATTGAAGCCCTGGCTGGGCGACCCGTGGGTGATGTTGGCTTCAAAGTACACGGTGACAAATCCTGTGTGGCAAAGTGTTAAAACAAAGAGAGCATTGTAGAGAGCATTTTACTGTTTCCATTCATACTGAAAATCTGGACAAATTTGCATTTTTTTTATTTTCGGAGTTTTCGTGATGGCCTCTCCATCATCAAATCATGACGCAGTAAATGCACATTTTGTCTTCCCCCTTCTGTACTGCAATATTGTTTTACTACAAACCTAAAACACTGGGAAAACCTCCTTTCCTATCCTACTGCAAAATTAAATCCAAGCACAGAGAAATGGCCACAGTAATATTTTTGCTCTAACTTGTAGCAAATACAGCTCTTAGGAATTCTCAAATGATAATCTAAAAGAAATTTGGAGCAAATGCTGAAGTTATGGTACATTGCCCAAGTGATATACTCAAGCTTTCCAACTGTTTTACTATCAATTTGTCACTAGTCTCAGAAAGACGTGTACACCTGATATAGCCTCCACAGTCATCGGCTCCTGGGTTCCGTTCCCGCAGAAGGCGCCCAGTAGGATCCCGCCTGAACCCACCGCCGTCTGCCCGTTCACGGTGCCACCCGCCAGGCTAGGCAGGCCGTCGTACACGTACACATAGTCTCTCTGTCAGGGGTAGAAGGTTAACTTAAGTCTAAAAGGACTTTCCACAACAAAGATACACGTCTTTTTTTTCCTCTTCTAAAGAAAGTCATAAGAAACATACATGAGCAATTTTCTCACAGCAGAACTATATCATGACTGGTTGTACTTCTCTGCAACATCTGAATCAACATTTGTCAGCCCTTGACATGTGATGATCTTCACATGTGTAACTAAACAGAAATCCAGAGCTAGAGGAAAGAATTTGCACCAAAAAAATGTGGCATACTTTCCATGTCTCCATGTCCATATCCATGTTCCCTTGTTTTCCAGTTAATATACAATACAGTTTGCTCAGATTTTCATTGACATCACTATAGACATTGGTGAAGGATAGACATCCAAGAGTAATGAAATACCAAGATAACAGTTACTCAAGCAACTGCAGTGGATAAATTTTGAACTGACATTCCAGTCACTGACGAAAGCTATAGTGGATGCTACATGAAACATCTGACCATTTTTTCCAGTTGCTTGAGAAATTTGAAATCAGGACACAGTCCTTACCCCGCACAGTGCCTGCAGGTCCTCCACAGTGAAGCTAACGGTGGGGACGGCGGGGAGGGGGGAGGGGGAGTAGATGTTGTCGTACACAGACAGGACCCACAGGCAGTAGGCGTGGGACTTGTTGGTGACGCCCTTCCCCGCGTGGGAACCCAGGCCGGACGACTCGATACTGGTCAGGACCACCCTGCCGTCACACTCGTGGTAACACTTGCCACCGTTTCTTTAGATAAAACAACGCTTTGGTTAACATTCAACATGCTAAGGTAGCCATTTGGCACCAATAATGATTGAATATGGGGTTAGGTAGGAGGAAGGTTAATGCTTTCCAGTTCTTGGCACTCGAAATGTTGCAGCACAGTGAAAATCAAAAGTTTGCTGTATCTTTGGGTTTACATGTGTCAATGAGAAAAACTGTGGACTTGAAACCACAGCAGAAAGTAACAGTTACTGTAATTAGTTACAGTATCACAGTTACATAAATACGTCTTCATAAACACTCATATACACATACTTAGGACGGTATACAATAAACATGTTCATGACAGCTACTGTTTTAACCAGCTTTAATTTAATCTCACTAGTGTGATGACTTTGCAATTAAGTTACTCTCATCACAAACTCATCACAATTATCTGCATAGATTTGCTCTATCTACAATTGTTACTTCACAAACTCTGATGTCAGCTACATGTATATGAAAACCAGAAAGGTACAGCAAGTTGGCAAGGACAGAAATGAGAGAAATAACTAATAATGGCTAAATGAACTCCATACCTCGGATCTCCATAGAACCCTCCCACACACTCCTCACAGTGGTCTCCGCGGGTGTTGTCTATACAGTAACAGACTCCGGTCGCCATGTCACAGTCCCCTAACGTGGCATTACTGTGCCCGTTACACCGGCACTCCTGGCAGCCCTGCGCCGAGGTGGCATCACCATAGCTGCCAGGCAAACACTCGTCACACGTGTCCCCTTGAGTCCAGTCTGTAGGGAAGGGTAGAAAAGTTGTAGATTCTTTATATGGACATTAAACAAAGGTCATGTAAATAGTCATGTATTCTGACAAGAGATTCCTATATGAAAGGAAGCATATAACACATACTTGGGAACTGTTATCATAAATTGTCTAACAATGATTTGTCATAGCTATTCTATCAAAATGCTAACTAACCAGTGCACTATTAACCAGGGTACTAATTCTTGGTAAAATCTTGGTAGTCAGATATGGCAAACAAATTTAAAATGGTACTCTATGTAAGCTTTAGTACATATCAGTATAACAACTTGATATCTTTAGAACAGAATGATAAGAGAAATGTGACGTACGCTGACACTCGTCGCAGAGTCCTGTTCCGTTGACACAGGTGCTGTGGAAGTTACAGCCACAGTCCACGTCACACTCCCTCCCCGTCACCGCCATCTGCGTCACGTTGGACGTCCAACCAAAGTCACAGATACAGCCGTAGTCTGGGGGGCCGCTACAGCTGCCGTGTACACACTCATTGTAGCAGCTATTGGTAAACATACAGAGCAAACAAATAATGAGTAAAGTGCAGTTTTAAGTATTTTTAGAAGACAATCATGATGACTTGGTTTTGAATGTGGACAACTTGTATCTGAACTGTCCAAAGTACAAACAGCGTCAATAATGTGAAAGGTTTGAATCTGCTGAAAGGTCATGGAGAAATAAGGTCGTTAGTCTCAACTACAGTCAGGTACCAGATTTACACCTGGTTGGAGTGAGGAAAGTTGTGTTAAGTGCCTTTTGCCACAACTTTTGGCCAGCAATGCCAGGTATCAACCCAAGACCTCTAAAATCTCTTTTTTTCTAGCCTATTTAATGCCACAAGATGTATATTCCAGAAATATCTAAGTGCAACACCAGCATCCTTACGTCTTGTTACAGGAGACATGTCCGTCCCCCTCGAAGCCGCGTGTGCAGGTGCAGATGAAGGAGTCAGGTGTGTTTGTGCAGGTGGCGTTGGCGTGGCAGTTGTCCAGGCCCAGACGACACTCCTCCACGTCCGGACAGTGTTCGTACGACCAGCCCACCGGGTCAGACACAGACAGGTTGTAGTGGGACGCCACGATGTTAGCACACTGCTGGGGGCCACTGTGTAACACACAAAGGCAAGTTTTGTATTAGATCTTGAAAACATAAGGCTACGTTCCATTCTATTGCTTTCCTTAAGGCTTGTCTATCATAAATATAGAACAACCAACCCCCCGAAAAATTAAAAAACCAAAATGACAATGACATGCTTGCACCACCCTATGCTTCATATGGAGGAAAATTGAAGAAGGTTGACTTTATCCCTTGTGAGCATTTTGCTAGGTACATTAGCACCACCTAGTGACTGACTTATGAACTGCCACATGAGCTAATCCCAAGAAGACTGCAATCTACATGTTTTACTGCATTATCAACGTTTCCTATAAAGTCAGTTTACACATTCATTTGCATAATTAGACATGATTTGCATAATTTAACATGATTTGCATACCTGGGACCCTGGAAGTCCCCTGCCACACACCTCCCCAGGGTGGGGTTGTCGACATTTCCACACCAGCCACACATGAAGTCAGCCAGGCACTCGTCACACGTGGCATGGAGGGAGCAGTTAGGGCACGACTTGTCTCCATTGCTGGGAGGAAACATTAGCCATGAGAAAGTCTGTAGAAAATTTTTATCACTTGTGATTTGTGTTCTTGAGGGCAGGTTTCCAAACTGCCCAGTTACTACATTGACAAAAGAATTGTCACACTACATTTTGTACTTTCTAAAAGACATTTTTATATCATAAGCATGTATCAATATTTAAATTCTACCTCTGAGTCAAGTATTTTTTCTCAAAGATTTATGATCATAGTAGTCTGTCTGCCTCTAATAAATGTCAATGAAAGATGATTGGTTAATGAAATAATGGCTGAGTCTGATTGGTGATGAGTGATTGGTTATCTGAAGGATGGTTCTTACCTGTCCAGCCAATGGGAGCACTGGGCAAAGGGGTAGCGTGTGATGTAGGCGGAGAAGGCAAAGCATGCCCCCACCCCCTCACACCAGGCACACTCCCCCTGGGTCCCCACACAGTCTGCACAGGTGTGACGGCTGGGGAACAATAGGATAGCACATTTCAGCATCAAAGTTCATGAAAAAATTACCATTAAATTTGAAATATCCAGAGTTTACATTATTTTTTACCTCCCACAAACATTTAGCTGTCTTCCATCATTTCGACTTTTCTCTCAAATGTATGTGAACTTAGAAATATCAAAAACTTTTAAATTTCATGTCCCTGAAAACTTAAATGTCACAATCTTGAAAATAAATTTAAAGTACACAAAAAGGTGTTGGACTGATGCTATTTTTTTAATGGACTATCATTTAAACTATCTGATACGTTTTGTAGTATCACTAAACAGGATGACAGTAGTGTCTGTCTTACCTTGTACAAGGGGCTGAGCAGTTTGAAGGGCTGGTCACAGCGATGGAAAACCTGCCCCTCCTCATGCAGCGTGCCTCTTCTGTTAACCACTCACACAGCGAACTCTGAAATAACAGTCAAGCCCTTTATACCTAGGAACTAAGGCAACACTTGTCCAATGTCTTATCAGTAACAACAGCATAACAACAGGTCTGACTTCTTTGGGAGAAAGATTGTACCCCTGGTGAATTACAGAAGACCAGCAGCATATGCCAGTGTTTGAAAACTGCTGCTTAGGGCAAAAAAGTCAAAACACATGCGTCAAACTCCTTTAGGGAGTGTGTGCACCCCTGGGTGAATTACAAGAGAACTGCGGAGTAGATGTGTTCACGAAATCTTGAGGCTATGACAGAGATGGTTTCTAGAACTAGATCAGAAAGGTGTAAAAAGAAAAGTATGCCTGACCTCTGTGCAGGTTTGACAGTCCATGTGGTCTGCACACATCACGCACTCGTCCGGTGTCAGCACGAGATAGCGCTCGACGCCGGAGCTGGTCATACAGCGGTCCGACATGCTGTTGACGGCAGCCCGGGACATGCAGCGCGCACTGGTGGGGCACCAGCCACAGCTGTTGTCTGTCATGCACGCCAGGCAGTTGCCGTAGTTACTGCAGTTGTCGGAGCCGAACGGTTGGAGAAACTCCGAGGTCAGCAGCTGTAGGGGCGTACAATTTGACCATGAACACCTTTGATTCCATATACTGACAACCAGTACAGGGTTATCTGAACTGTCCCAATACCAGAATGTACTAAAGCATAGCCCTTCCTTTGTACATACATTGTAGTGAACTAATTGCAATGTTCGAAATGCATCTCATTATCAACACTAAACACCTCTTCAAACCATTCTTACACCATTCTTACAAACAGCAAACTTACACTACTGGCTACACCCGTAACATTTATTATCACAAAACTGGTATAAAAGGAAGCTGTGATTAGTGCCATATAATGTTTCCTTTACAAACTGTCTTGATTTTACTGTAACTTCCTTTACAAACTGTTTTAATTTTACTGTAGCTAGACTTCATGCTGCATCGTGACATCTATAACCTGCCAGCTGAATGGAATAAACCTGAATGTGTTCTCACATGTCTGGTTGAGGATGAGCTGCCTGCCCCGTTCCACTCGATGCCGACCGTGGCAGTCTGCTGGTTCTGTGGGTTGGCCTTGATGACCAGCTCCGACTGCTCCCTGATGTAGTACTTCGTGCCGCGGCTCGTGTCCGGGAACAGAGGCGTGCCGTCTGGACGGACGGCATTACTCTGCTTGTTTTCAGCTCCACTGATGGTCGCTAGTGATTCCTGCAGTCAGCAGCACAACAAGACAAAGGCTCAGAAAATATTCTCTCATGGAAAGATATAGTCATTTGTCAACAAAACCTGATGTGATTGAAGCTAACAAATATTTCTTCATGGTTCTTAGGTCTCAACCTTGAATTTCAAGGGTAAGAGCAACAGGCAACAAATATAAAACACCTTGGGATGACCTCTGTGGTTTGTGACAAAAAGTGCATCAAAATGACTCACACTGGTGGAGTACAGGCTCTAACTGCACTGCATGAGTGTGGTGACACCTTGCAGATCATGAAGGTACTGCAACCCTGATTGTGGGGTTTATACTTACCGCTCCAGCTGGATCCTCAGTCTTACTCATCCACAATGTAGAGTAGGCGTTGGAACCCTTCAGCCACATGCTATAGGTCTTCCCCGCGCTATAGACAGAGTTTGGGTAGATGAAGCCCTTGAACTCTGCCGTGTAGTTCCCTCCCAGCTGGTTCTCTTGTGGAGTCACCATGGAGAAGATGAAGTTCTTCTGGATGTGGTCACGAACAATCTCCACCTAGAGCAGGCAAGAGAATATACAGTCACTTAAAAACAAGCTACCTTCCAAATTTCATTTTATTCTATTTTAGAAAGCAAGAAGCATTAAGATTGCCTACATGAACATCTGTCCACATTCTGACAAACAAACTTGAGTAACCGCTTTTTGGCGTATACATGGAAAACTGTGTAGATGGTACAATGACACTATATCAAATTTGTGTCAAACCTGAGCGATAATTTGGATAAATTAACTGTTTTGAATAACATGTCCATATGTGCTTTGTATACTCTTGTATGGAAACACCACAGCAGCAACACATTCCTTTTTAAGTTGTGTTTTCAATTCATTAAAACTCTGTCTAGTTAATGATACTTTGCTCTTCACAATGAGCTTGATACATGTATGCCTCAAATAAAAAAAGCTCTCTAAAAATACAATTACATGGGATATTAAAAAACACACCATGACACATTCCTGGCAGATCTTTGTTCATGCTTACTTTATCTGGCTGTTGGCTGTTCTTGGGGTTGCGGTATTTGATCCAGTGGAGCCCTGGTGGGTGGTCGTGTGTGCGACACTGGTCCAGACTGGTCAGCATGCTGGAGTTGCCCCACCACCCCTCCACACCACTGGCAGTGGCCATCCCTCCACACAAGCCAGTAGGGTCTGAAGTTAACACAAGCAAAGACAATTTTGTAAAAAAACTTTTCATAATAAACATGCACTTTCCTGGCACTTCTGTTTCATATACAGTAGATGTGAGGGAATATTCGGAACAAAACAGATGAGTACAATCAATTGACAGTTACAAACAACTGTTCTATGTGTGCCCAAGAGTGGGAATATACATGTAGTATGGAACATGAATGTGGGCCCTAGCAATTTTTGAAAAGAACTGCAAAATTGTTGAGTATATATTGCAAAAATATAGTACATTATGCTCTAATGTAGAAAGACAAGAAAAAAAAGACAAAGGTGTGCTCGAAAAAAGGTGTGTAAAGGTATACACTGTGGAGTTGAGAAAAGAAAGTGGTAGGTCATGTACAATTTTTACAAGAGACTGAGTAAAAGATGAATTAAGTGTGATTGCAGCACATGCTGACATAAAATCCTTGACAATGCTGTGTTTCACAAGACAAACATAATAATAAACTGACTACAAGCTGTTGGGTATTCAAACTTTTCTACCACTATTATATGACTGAGTAGCACATCCGCAAAACGTACTGCATCTGTGTGAAACCTGTAATGTATTGTGCATAGAACTTCTACAGAATGTATCGTTTAAGGTCATGCTCGTATATCTAAGGATGATATCCTGCCTGTAGTTTCCAATGTTGTGTCAGAATAGACTGACAGAATTCTGATCCAACATTGACCAAACATCTAATCAAATGAAAACCGTGAAAAATCCGGGTTTTGTGCAGGCGCAGTACATTCTGCCAAGTTGACGTGCTTGACTGAGTGATGCTGTGCTACGTACAGTCCCTGCGCTGACACTGCTGCTCCTGCACACACCAGGCGCAGGCGGTGTTGGTCCTGAGACCATGCACACCCTCCCCCTGGCTGCTGCCCCCCCACACCAGGCAGGACTGGCAGTCCTTCAGCACCTCACACAGACCCTGGGCAGCTCAGCTGGGGGCTGCTGCAACTCTGGGGGCAGAAACACAAATCAGATTAGTGTAGGGATCCTGGTAATGTTAGAGGTGTAAAATGGCTGAGTGGGTTAAGTCTTGCAGACTCAAGATCAAGAGATAAAGGCTTATATCCCTGGCAAGACGTTGTGTATTTGAGAAAGGCACTTTAACCAATACTCCACCCAGGTGTAAAATGGGTACCTAATTTCAGTTGGGGAGGTACATGTAAAAGGCAGTAGAAGGAGAGGGATGGGCTCCCAAATTCCAATACCATGCCCTAGACACAGTGGATTAACAACTTTCTATGCCCTCAAAAACTACCTTTTTATTAGCTCTTTTAAGTTTTTTATGTCCTGTGCATCGTTACACTAAAGGCAAATTTACACTGGTGAGTATTAATTTGGGATTATAGCCATTGGCAACATAGCTTTAAAGCCATTAGGTAACATACATCTACCATCTGCCATAACAATACCATAATATAGAAAGATGAACAATGTCTCCTGCCTCTAGTAGCATTATTACATCATCTTTTTGCAATAATTTCTACATTCTACTGGCACCTCTTATCTGAATATGATCAATGTCATCTAATAATGGTACAGCTCATGTTTCATGCATGTTCCTGTGTACACTCACATCAGCCTCCAGGTGTGACAGACAGGCCCCGGAACCTGTCATTGCTCTCACTTACACCAAAAGGCATTCTGGGTCAGCCACACATGAACTTGCAATGGGGTGTTCTGAGCACACGTCCATTGTCTGAAAGGAAAACAGAGAAGTAAGGAGTTTCTTTCATGAAAGAACATATTTCAAACAAAGGACTGGTGTAAATTTGTATTTGTGTGTATTGCTTTGAAGTGTCTTATAAAATAAAAAGTGTTGCTTTTAAGAAAAATTTAGTCCATAATAAGCTTGTACATGACTGTATATCTTGACTAACTGTAGTTATTCACATGCGCTGCAACACCTTAGACTGTCAGCACTTGTCACCAGCTGTGAACAACTGACTCTTAGGTTTGCTAGATCCATGATAGCCTCTGGGTTTAGGGACTAGCTTCCAGCACCCAAGCTCAGATCACAGGCAGAATGACTTTGGACAACCATAAACTGAACTGTCCGAAAGCCAAAACTAACCAGTGCTTCGTCTCTTGCACCCAGTTCATGCCCTGTCTTGTCATCCAGTATGGACAGTAACCTGTTTTTCTGTAAGAACCCAATATGTCCATGTTAACTATTGTTTGTCCTACCAGTGTAAATGTTAATTTAAGTCATCATATTCAATAATGAGTGTGCTTAATATTCCTTTGCCGAGTAGCCACTGTAACTCTTTTATGAACCTTTATCAATTGTGAATTGTGACCCAGAAATACCTAGCTCCCATTTTTACCAGTACTTTCATTTCCAGCCCAGCCTTACCGTTAGGTTTGCTGACACATAGTCGTTTTGTGCCACCGTGGGCGGGACTTTGAATGCCAGAAGGTCGCCGACCACGTTCCCGCTGTAGCCACCCACGATCAGCAGGATGTTCCCGTCGCGTATGGCGGAGGCGTGGGAGAAGCGTCCCCTCTGCGTCTGGAACGTGTCCGTGCCGAGGAAGTCTTCCCGCAGGTCTTCTATGCCGACCCACTTGTGACAGGCCAGGTGGTAGAAGTACATCTTGTAGTCGTAGCAGATCTCATTCTGATGGTGGTGGTGGGAGTTCCCACCTAGGATAGCCACAAAAAATGTTTGACTGTACCATCAACATACAATTAAAAAAAATAGTCTTGACTCATTGACAATAAATGCATTAAACTGTGCTAAGAGGCTAGAAAATTGAAATCTGTCATTCATACCACAATTTTCCTACCTATTATCATAGAAGTTTGGTACATAACATTCCTAATGTTAACCTTGAGCATGCTAAGGTAGCCATTTGGCACCTTATCTTTATATTGGGTTAGGCAGCAGTAAGAAGGTTAAGATAACATATTCTAAGCATCTGGGTAAGTTATCCTGAAGAGAAGCAAACTCTGGTAAAAAAAGTTGAGTCTAGTCAAAATAATTGAATCATTTCTGTAACATTTCTCACCAACTTTGCCATGAAAACTGTGCCTCTGATTTCTTATGACTTTTTCTGAGAGGTATTTATTCTCCATCTTACTACAGACCAATCCTAAGTGGGATACATATCACCCCCACTGTGTAATTTTCAGCACATTGACAACTTAAAGAAGCCCTTGAAACAAAGCTTGACATACACAGTATGGTTGACCAGCATAAATAAAACAAATCACATACCTGAACAAAAGTAGTAAAAAAGGTACAAATCAGCTCTGCCCCTGAGGTGTTGCCAAAAAAGCAAACACTGCCAGCCACTAATGTGCCACTTACATGACGGCATCTATGTGAACAACTGGTTAACCTGTAAGAGGAGCCCTGCATGCAGATATGTCCTCACCATACACAACCATGTAGTTGCCCATGACGTCCGCGGTGTGGAAGGCCCGTACGTCCGGCGTCTCGGCGTTGGGCAGGTACTCCCACTCCGTCCAGTAGTTCTTGTCCACGTTGAAGGCATGGGTGGTGTTGATACGGTTGCTGAATCTAAACATCGTGCAAGAGTGAATATTTGTGAAGGCTATCTAGGAATATCCTTGAGGTACAAACAATTTTTCAAATACATTTGTACTTTGAAGTCAATCATGCTCGGTGTTTAACTCTTCATCCAGAATATGTTAAGAGTTTCATACACTTGTACGATGTACTGTCTACTTCCACCTTCCACCAAATATAACAGTTGAATTTGTATGTATCACTGTAATCTGTAACAGTTGTTTTATACTATAATTGTGCTGCTATGTTAACAAGACCCTTTGAACTCTGGAAAAATGGCCAAGGCTGAAGGGAGTACTCTGTACGTTTCAACGTTAAGTTCAAGGTTTAAAAAAAGACATTTGACAGTTATTATTGTCTGGTGTGTTAGCTGGTGTGTTACGCCGAAGGGCGGTTATACTGGCTACACTGATACAGATACAGATTGTTTGCCATACTTTAAGCTTGAAGAAACTCGTACTTTGCATAGTTGGGTTGGAATCCGCCGAACACGACGAGTGAGCGTGAGGAGGGGTGGAAGACCATGGAGTGTCCCACCAGCTGTCGGCTCTCCCGCTTCCCGCCCCGCGTCTCCACGGGCTCCCAGGCACCGCGGACCAGGTCAAACCTGTACATGTCCGACGTGAAGTGCTTCTGGTCGCGCCGACCTGCCGCGGGAAACAGGGTATTTGGTGGGCTTGCTAATTTAATCAACTAAATAGATTGAAGCATAAGGCCAGGAAAAAAATGTTGTGTTTCCTGTTTCCCTACCGACCCTAGAAAAAACTGCCAACCCTAGAATTTTTTTTGTGTGGACATAAATTTTTTCAAATGATCAGATTTTTCTAGCAAGTTTTACTTTGTTCCACTACATTGTATAAGTTGGATCACCAAGATCACCAAGGTCTAAGAAAAACAGAAAGAAAAAAGATAATCCTTACCTATGTACCAACCCTAATTCTTTTCAGGACATGACACAGGTAACATTTTTTTCCTAGGCCTAACTGTGTGGTCAATGGTAAAATGCTCTTTACGTATTACCTTAATAAAGACCTTCTACAAAGTACTTAAATACTACATTACATCCTATGTATAATACATACTAAGTACATTACATTGATAAGTACATTACGAGCTAAGTACATTACATACTGAGCACATTACATTGTACATACCGAGTACAAAATTTATACAATGGTAACGTTACATGAACTTTATGAACTAAGTGACATCCCTTCAAGCTAGAATCCTCATACAACATCAATCTCCTATAACTTCCTACCATGATCTAATAGTGTCAAACCTCCAATTTGTATCTGTATTTGCATGATTATATTACTGGAAATCCCATTGGATTTGACTGTGCCTGGAATTCAATTATGCCCCTCAATAGAATTATACAATGACGGTGACGGTGCTCTATAACAAAACGGATTGTTTTTAGTTTTAGTTGAACTCGGTTGCATTTTTACACTCGTATTAACTATGGGATCTGTCAATATGGTAAATTTTTATTGTATTAACATGTTACTTATTTACTTTCTAAGAATTATTGTAATTAATCAATTTGCAATTTGATAAAGGGAGGCCTATACATCAGCAAAATCCCTTGCACAGTTATTATGTATTTTCAATTTGCTTGATGTATTTTATGACGAAATAAAAATTAAGAAAAGTTTACCTCCGAACACATAGAGGTATCTGTTGTCCACGAGAGACGTGGCGTGGCCTGCCACCGCCGGGGGTCTGTTGGGGTCGTTGACCGCCAGCTCCTGCCACGTGTCCGTGGTCGTGTCGTACGACCAGAGGTCGCCGGCCAGCCTGCTGTTCCCCAGCTCACCTCCAAACAGCACCAGGGAGTCGTTAACGGTCGTTAATGTATGGCTGTGTCTGCCAGCCTGGGGGGAAAACAAAGGAAACACCATTCAGAATTCACCAGCTTTGTCCTAAATTTAGGGTGCCATTGAATGTGTTGAGTGATTAGGCTAGCAGATACTAGACCAAGAGGTCCCAGGATCCATTCCCTGAGTTCCTGGCTAGACGCTATCCTTGGGAAAGGAACTTATTTTAACACTCCACCTATTGAAATGGGTACTTGACTTTGGTTGGGGAGGTAAAAGGCGGTGGAAGGAGAGGGATGGGCTCTGCCTCCCAATACTGTGCCCTAGACACAGTGGATCAACAACCCACTGCCACTATGGCCTGAAAAAGGCTACAGGACCTTGACCTTGTCAAAATGTTGTTTCTGTCTTTATACATTACAGGGTATTATGTGTAGAGGAACATTATACAAGCACAACTTGCTTTCTTCCTCACCTTCGATAAATCTATGAGAATACAATGAATAATATGCAATCATCTTCAAGTTGCTATAGCACTCTAAACTGTGACAAATTTAGCAAATATCACTGACTACTTTTTATGATGCTCTACCACCTATTTATGTTTGTAATTTTCATTTCCATATGCTGAAAATTGTTATGTAAATTGTTTACTACAACCTCGTGGCAGACGACCTAATATGCAAAACATGCAAACATTTACAATGACAGAAGTAATACGTCTGGGCAATTTTCCTACCGTCAAGAAGAAAACAGTAAATGCATAATACATGCTACCTCTTCTAATGGATATACATGATCCAGGGCATTGTTTTTCACAATCACAGGAATGAAATAGTCAAACAAAGTGTATAGATTTCCCTGAATTTTATCAAGCCATCATTATATGTAGCACAACGGCAGAATGTACTGCGCCTGTGCAAAACAATGTATTGGGCACAGTGTATGTGAGGATGACAATAATCCCATTTATAGTTTTCAAATGTTATGTCTGAAAAGATATCATCAGTAACAAGCAAAATTCTGATAAAAAACTGTCCAAACATCCAACCAAAACGTTGAATAACATGAATTTTGCACAGGTGTAGTACGTTCTGCCAACGTACTCTTCTATGTAGGCTATATAACTTACTGGTCTTGGTGTTGTGGTGGTCATATTTTCCCATCTACTCTCTTCAAAGTTGTATCTCATCAGATCATCCAGTACATTATTGAGAGTATATCCTGAAAATAGATTAGAGTTTGTGATGAGTTCACAGCAGTCTGATCTATGCTGAACAGTCATCATAATTACAGAATAGCTGATGATACAAATCTATTCATGTCTCATAAAAATCTCAACACGTTAGTAACTACAATGAACGAAGAATTGGATAAAGTAAATAAGTGGTTTAAAACAAACAAATTGTCTTTAAATGTTAAGAAAACAAATTTAATAATATTTGCAGGTAAAAATAGAAATTACCCGAAGGAAAACGTACAAATATTCATAAACAACAACCTTATTACTCAAGTGACACACACCCGTTTTCTAGGGGTCTTAATAGATGCAAAATTAACATGGAAAAATCACATCGATCTTATTAGTAAAAAAATATCCAAGAACATTGGTATTATACGGAAAGTAGGAAATCTTTTATCTCCTAAAACATTTATTACTCTCTATTATAGTCTTATCTATCCTTACTTAAGTTATTGTAATATTATATGGGCAAGTACGTACACTACATCACTTAAACCGCTTTTTTTGCTTCAGAAACGATACATCAGGATAGCGTCAAAAGTTTCATTCACTTTCCCTACTGCACCATTGTTTCAAAAGCTCAAAATACTGTCCATAAATGACATAAATAAACTACAAACAAGTCTTTTAATGTACAAGATAATGAATAAATGTCCTTGCCTTCCTGAAACCTTCCACGACACCTACACCTTCTTATTAAACTCAGACATCCACAACCACTTCACACGCCAATGCAATTATTTAAGGCCATCCAATGCGAAATCGAATCTTCGTCAATTTACAATCACGTACAGAGGCCCAACAATTTGGAACAACCTAAGTAGAACTTTACAAATTAGTCCCTCCGTCACCATTTTTCAAAAATCATACTAAAGCAACTTTCATAAATAACCCCACACATTCTTAATTTTTGTTTAAGTTTCCTTGTTTACTACCTTTCATTACTACTTTTTCATTATTGTAGATAGTATTGTATCGTATTATATTTTATTGTTTTGTTTCATTTACCCGTTACCTAGTAAGTTATTTCTTATTTATACGATTAATTTGAATTGTTAATTAAGTTATGAAGGGAGGCCTCCTCATAAGCATTTTATGCTTCCGTCCTCCCTGCACTGTTACATTTCATTTATATTTTCTTGTGTCTGTATTTTGTTTTAAAGTGCGAATAAAAACTGAAACTGAAACAATGATGACAAGATTATCAAATAAATAAACCTCTGAATTGGAGACAATTTACTTTAAAATATATATGAAGGAACACTGTAGTCTTTTCTATTATACTTCTTACCAGAGTCGGTTATTATATTGACTAATTTGTCTTTAAAACATTTCAATTTATTCATGCATTTGCCTGAAATATTAAGCTAAACCAGCAATGTATGCAAACACTGAAACATATTTTGGCATTAAGTTAAAAAGTTAGGACCAAGTTGTAACAGCCTTGGGAAAATCATCATTTTGCTACTTGAAACACAACATCAATGGAAGAACTGCTGAATTCTGGGCACCTCCAAAGATCCAGAGGCTGTCGGACCCTGCGTGGTAGGCGCCGGCGTGACTGGCTCGTGCGGTGAGTCCCGTCCCGCTGTGGGACAGCTGGTACCAGGTGGACCGGCCTGCGTTGTCTCGTGTGGACAGGGAGCAGTCATCTCCAACATACCCCTCCTTACAGCTACATGCACCCTGTGGGTCATACATGAACACACCTCAACTCATGACTGGTAACAGAAAATCAGGGTCAAAATACTATTTTCTGTAGAAAAAAAATTTCTCTCAAAATTCTACCAGATCCCCTAGGACTGCCACAAAAATTGAATATAAGGAGATTCAAACTAGATGCATTGATCCCTAGGTATGCACACTGTAACTTTAATATTTACCTAGTAAGAGTATACCTGTTGCCTACTGACAGTTCTTAATGATTCCTGGTTTGAACTTGAAGACACCTACCCATATATGAAATATGATACAGACCCAGCCTTCTCAAGTTATGCCGTCAACAAATAAACAACAAACAAAAGTACACGTCTGCACCAAAAAGAAAACCTTTCTGGCAAAGGTAAATGATAAAATGTCTGTAAATATTACAAATAAATATGAATCTTGAGCAGATAGAACTGTCTTGAGAACTGGGAAAGAGTTGCCTTGGTCTGGGCAAGCCACCGGACATGATGATGATGATGATGATGATATGTTAGAAAATCAAACTTACAGCGACGCAGGTATGGCCGTGGCCCTCGTCAATGTGGCAGTTGTTTGGACACCACTGTAACTGACAGGCCTCCCCCTTCCAGAGCTGGGCAGCACATTGGCACTGTCCCGCAATGCACGTCCCTTGAGAAGAGCAGTTTGCTGGGCAGGGCTCTGCATAGTACCTGGCCTCAAACCCACTTAGTACATAGTTAGTGTCGCTGTAAAGGTATATCAACATCTGGAAGAAAAATGAGGGAGGACTTGTCAGTTTCAGGTACAAAGGGTATGTCATTATGCTTTATAGTACAATAAATTTAATGCAGTTGCATTTGTTTAATGTCAAGTTGATTTTATAGCAGTGTAATGTCATTTAAGATACTCAACTTTATGGATTTGTGTTTTGTGCACATGAAAAATTTGTACATGAAATTATGCAAATATTTTTCACAGTCAGCAAACCTGTTTTCATACTTTACAACTTACTCATTTTACTTGAACACAATGTTGATGTGTAGCCAAAAAAATTATTGATGCAAAAGTATGATAACAGTTCTTTCAGCCTACAACTGTGTTCAAGAGCTGTGTTAATATCACTTTGTCTTATACAAGCATACCTCGGTAGTTATGTACATACTAGGAAACACACCTATGTTAGTAGCCCTATTTTTACTACTTTAATTCTGATAACTTGTATATAATTGTATGATCCAATATGTCATTGTAATTTCTGACCGTGCATTTTATTGATTGTACATGTATATTTCTATATACCTAACGATCCTACTTTCTCCCAGGGTTAACCCTTAACAATAGCCTATGACTAGTTGGGCACCCATGGCTGCTGTAAAATAAGGAGCTTGACACCTACCTTTCCTGATTTAGCAATGATGGGTTCTGGGGTGGTGTTCCCACTAAATGTACCCAGCAGAGGGCTACTGTAGGAGTCTCCATCATGCACAAACAAGAAGTCATAGGTGCACTCTGTGTACATGGCTGAGAAGTGCAGCGTGATGAACGGCTTATCCAGCGGTGCTGAAACACAGAGGAAAAGCAGTCATCTTTAGTATTCTGGGGGAAGACATCCAGGCTTTTAGCTAGGGGGTGTCCAGGGTGTCTTTTGGACGCCCTGTACTGAAAATAATAAGAAATTGGACGCCCTACTTTTTTGTAGGACACCCTAAAGACGCCCTATTTTTTCCACTCCCAACCCTTGCCATGCACACATGCCTCCTTTCAGCCTTACTATAAATACAAAAATGATGGTTTACTGAAGGAAAAAACTCAAATTTACACCTGAAAATGCAGAAAGTAGTGTTTGAGAGCATAATGAATTTCAAAAAAGCCCCCCTAAAATCTTGCACTCAGCACGTCTTCACTGTGCATAGCATACAATAAAAAAAATGGACAGTTTTTGGACACCCACCAAAAAAATCCTAGCTAAAAGTCTGAAGACATCAAATGGCAAAGTAGTTAGTAGAGTGGGCACAGGATCAAGAGGTCATGGGTTTGAATCCTTGCATTCCTGGCTGAACGTTGTGACCTTGGGAAGGGCACTTTGCACAACTCTCCTGTACCTCCCCAGGAGGTGTAGGGAAGGTGAAAGGTGGTGGAAGGAAATGTATTGTCGCTGCTTTCCAATAACGTACCCTAAAAATGTGTGCAATTTAACAAAAGCGCTAAAGCTAAAGGTTATCAGACCAATAATATGTTACACCAGTTTTTGCATTTTTGGCTTCAGTTAAAGGGATATATTGATCTACAACTTAAATCACTCCAAGCCCTTAGTATAGTAAAATTTGTTTAAAATGTTGACTTTATTTTAGTCATCTTTCAGTACAATGATGATGATGATAATGATGCACTGTGTTCTGCAGCTAATAGAGCTGTTGCAATCCGTCTTTCCTCATTTCATTCTACTGTGTCTTCTTTCTCCATGAGCAGCCTAAGCTTTCTGAGTTTCTTGACAGTTCTCAGGTTTCTTATTCCATTGTTTTTCAGGTCTGTCTTCAAGACACAATATTACCTAGATTTGTGCAGTGTCTTCCTTTTCGTATGACATATATCATTACAACAATGATCACTTTACCCGTCACATTTAGGTCTATTGTATACCTGGTCAATTACGGACTTTTCATGGTCATTTCTTTGTGGCGTCAGTCTTTTCATCACCATAACAACAAAGACATCCCAATGAGGTGTAACAAAGGCTTGTCCACAGACCTTACAATCAATTACCTCTTCTGTGATCTTTATTTTCTTTGGTAACCAAGTAAACCAACACAGAAAAAATCAAACAGTTGCAAGTCTTGTATTTCAAACAGCGATTTGAAAATTAGTAACATCTCAAGCCCAAAGATAAAATCAAATAAGACATGCAACAACTATGGAAAATATTTGGATAAATGTGGTTCCCCACTTCTCTAAGTGTTTGGATTGTATCTAAATGTCAATCAAACATATTTATCTTATTTGTATTATGTCCAGCTCTTCAAATTATCTTTATCAAGTACTACTAGTACTTAGCCATAGAAAGAAAATCCTTCCAGTTACTAGGACATGTATATGTATTAGCTATTAGCTATCCCAGTACAATTTTCTTTAAGTTTAACATCCAATAGAAATAATAGCAATTGCTTTTTTCTTATAATGTGTCATGCAAATGCATCACACATTGAACACTCCAATTCTTGGCAGCTACATACTAGTATAAATGTATGAATAGTACTGTTGCCATTAAAAAAATTAATGCATATGAATCACCTCAGCTTTCAAAGCCAGGCATCGTTGATCAACTGTATGAAATTTGCACTAGTCTATTTTCCTTGGAATGCACACATTGTTTAATATTCCTACAGTAACTAATAGTATAGTCTGGTACATGTAGCTTTGGGAAAAGTGCCAAGTACATTTAGTTTAGATGCTGGTTCTGATATCAAATTCCTTTCTTGCATACAACATTTGCCAAGAGTTCTGCATGATTTCAACTTTACATAACACAGTGTGTGACATGAATAATATGTGTCTTTGGTTGAATTAAATTCTCGTCTGATCCATGAACTTTTCTTGTTTCCTCCAAATCGTATGTATAATCGTATAAGTGAGAACATTTAGAAAGATGAAAATGCAAAACTACCTGTGGATACAAAGAAAAGTGTATAAAATGCATAAGTTATGAAATTATTGCAGCAATTTATGTTCACAGCGAGTGCTCAGATGTCTTATTCCTGTATAGTTAGATTTTACAACACTAAAAACACCTCACTCCTCCCTACCCCCTAGCTACCCCCTCCTACATTGAAAGTCCCTACGAACATACTGGTAAAAATTAAAAATAATTTCCTCAAGTGATAAGTTGTCTTTTTATGGTCTCAACATTTTTTTTTCAAAGTTTCTCTCATGGATAAGCTGGAAGAATGTTCCTCCCAAAAACCGGTTCACTTCAAAAAGATACTAGTATCGACTTTTTCACCTGACTGATTCAATTATTTGGCTTGAGCTGATCCAGTCAGACAAGTGAATTACCCCTAAGGGTAACCAGAAGTCATGTTATTATTTAACACAACATGAACATGACAAGGCATTTTTAGTGTTAAACATTGCCCATTCACAACAAATTGTAACAGTCCATGTGTTGCTGTCAAAGTTTTGATATAATGATATGCATGCACACGTACTTCTTGTTTATTATATATATGGTATAATAGTCAATAGCCACTAGCTACTTTGAATAACAAAAGGATTTTTCTTTCCTTTCAAGCTAACCTGGACGAAAATTTTACTGTTGTCTACCACCTAAGGTTACACCAAACATTGTTCAGTGTATTACTAAATTGCCAAGACTGTCACTAGAATTATAATCTGGCAACAGACTGGGCAACGGAGACATTGCTGGTTGGTGGGCGGAGCGTTGACATACATTCCTTGTTGACAGGTTGCTAGGGCAACAGATCTACGCATTGTTACAAGTGCAATCTGCGCAACCGGTGTATTTCATTACCCAGAGCAATCATGGAACTCATGTAGACCTGTTTGTTCTGTCCAGGCCAAAGTCCACACCTATCTCACCAGAAATGAATGCACTGGAGAGAAAAGTTGTTCTGAGTTGTGAGATGTGCTAGTTGATACATGTATCACAGTTTCGCAGGTATTAATAACTAGTACTAGTATCATAAAGGCTCACAGTAACCATCACAATATCTATGTCCTTAACAATTTAAAAGGGAAAAATCTAGTACAACTCATACTTGGAACAATTTCTGCATATTTGTGACGGCAGTGCTGTCATGAAAATTTAAATGATACCAATATTGTCACATGCATAAGACTAAAAGTATAAATTACACGTGGTAATTTAAACTACACAGTTTGTGGTTTTTGTTATTCCCTCTTTTCTACCATATCACGCAATCCAGTACTTAGTTTCTTCTTTGGAACTTCCTGCTGGATTGGTGCCAAAGAGAAGGTGAAATGCAAATACACATGAACAGGAAACAAAGTGTTACGTTACCACCTTGCAACTTTGACCTAGGCCACTACTGTAGCACTGCGCAAAAAAAACTGACTCAATTCAGCAGACAAAAATAAACATCGTTCTTGACAAGTACAATGTTGAAATGGGTTTTTGAGTTTGAATTATCTGGCTGTTGTTTCAAGTGGTAATTTGATCATCTCTTAGGCAATTTAGTGGGTCAGTGGTTTCTAACAGGGGCAGTTGCACATTCCTCTGGTGCCAACCTGTCTGCGGTCATTTTGACAGCTCAATTAACTGGGAAATGAGGTATAAACGCATGGTTACAGGTGTACAAGGGAGACCTCAGCATACATTCAGAACTTGGAAGCAGTTTTGGGGGAAAACATTGATTAGTTGAGTATATGTTGATTGATCACTATGAAGACACATGTTTACAGTTTGATGCCAGCGACTACAAATTGTGTTGTGTAAATAATGTTATCATTCATCATAATAATGTTACACTACAGGACTATGAAATTCTTTCAATTTTAGATGACTCTCACTTCATTCTGAATGAATTTTCTTCTGTATTTTTGTGCAATACTCCATGTACTAGTATTGTAATTCTATAACTTAACCAACTTGATAAAATACTAATTAATCTTTCAAATTCAAACAACATATACTAGTTTAATTTTTTTAAGTGCAACTATGGGCTTACATGTACCGAGGATTACATATTACTGGAAACAGATTGTTCAAACAAATCTGTGGTGGTACTGGCATACAAACTGACATGACAACATTATAATCCATGACTAGTACTTGATCTAATTACCTCCAATACAAATCAGATCTATGCAAAGTCGATGTCATTTATTTTAACAAAACAAACAAAGGCAATGCTCATTAAAAGGTCTTAACATATGGCCTGTTCTTCACACCTGACTAAGAATCTAAATACTAGTATGTGTCAAGTGGAAGACAATGCAATAATTTATGTGGGGAAAAGTGGTAACATTAGTGTTGGTTTTTTAAATTTACGTGTATCGTTATGGATTGTGTCAGTCTTCCAAAACTGACATATGAATTATGATTGAGTGCGTCTGGGACTATGAAAATATCACTTTGACATTGTTGTACTGTTATGGACATTAAGTCAGGATACTTTTTCGAATAGTAAATTATTATAGTTAGTTAACGTTAATACCGTCAAATCCCCAAGCAGATGCTTGGGGTGAAAATCGTGACTGATCGGAGAGCGGCTGTCAGAGAAGCAGTCAGATGATTTTTACGTCTAACATCTGCTTGGAGATTTAGTGAGATATAGAGTAGTTTTCCTTACCTATGATGAGCCATTCACAATGCGTATTTTCGGGATAATTCCCGTCTCCGTCCGAGACTGTACCCTCTGTCCCGTTCAACACAGTCCGGCCGCCACAGACGGCGTCTGCGGGACACACACTGCACAACAACCCGGCCAGAAACAACCAGTGATACGCGCCCAACAAAGTCCTCACGTCACGCAACACTCTGTGAACTTGTCGTTGAATCTGTTCAGTTCCCATCCTTGACCAAGTCACGATCGTCCAAAGAGTCAGAATCTCTCACCACCGATCTCGGAAAAAATATATATGCTTCAGCAAATCCGGACCAACACAAGCAGACTAGCTGGACAAGAAAAAAAAACTAAATCGTTTCGTAATCAAAGCTCGGGGGTACGATGTTGGGGTACAGAAGTTGACGTTGTCTTCTCCTAGCCTTCCAGGACTGCATCCCGACGGTCTGAAGACACGGAAAAGGTCATGATTCGTCCCAAAAGTCGGTCCGTCCCCCTCCCATCGACCAGAAAGTGGCCATTTTTCTACACCATCTTCACTGTGGCAGCTGCAGCGACGTCACACATCACGTGACTACATCTCGTCCCCATGGCTCTAAATATCAGTTCTTATCAAATTCTTCACATGAATATTCAGTTCTATCAAAAAATGCATGTTTTGTAAAGTCTGGGACATTTTGAGATTATTTCTGTGCACATTGTTTTTGTTTTTGTCTCTTTCTGTGTGAAAACGACGCTCCTCGAAGAGCACATTGTCCTGGGACAAAGAGGTTTAATCAGGTTAAAGGTCAACTGCAGTGTGGAGCAAAATATTCATCAGTTCTGATGTCTAGTTACTAGCAGTTGGGTGTGGCACATGCTGCGTTTAAGGTGAGTGTATGATTTGTGGTTCTTCCATGATAAAACTTTTTTTCTCGGAAATCGTGACTGGGTGGAACAAATAAATTATATGTGTCAGTTTCAACGTCGAGCGAGCTGTCCTTTTGAGCAACCCTCGACTCGAGTTTATACAGTCGTATACATACGATTGTCAACAGTAATCACATGTCTTATGATTATGTTTTCAGAATCCTTTTGTCTGAAGAGATGTTGATGTCAGCTGCTGATGATTCACAACTTTGATACGATGCTGTATACTCTTCAACTCTTCCTTGTCGCATCGATTGTGTTTTCAGGTGAGTTGACTTGTTGAAGCCAAGGACATAATGTCCTTGTTGAAGCCTATTGACGACTTTTTATATGGATTGAAGAGAATAAATTATGCCATATTTTACATTGTAATTTAATATCACGTTCTGCCTGTAACTATTCAATCCTGTGGTGTAATTATTCTTCCTTCTATGACCATCTGGCTCATATTTTTAAAACAACCGTCCTGACAATTTTATTTTGACAGACAACTCAGTAATTTGGCAACTCTTTCCTCTGCCTCTTGATGCTTTAGCAGTGTGAAAGTTGTTTAATATTATCGACAAAAAAGGCATCATGTTTCAAAAAGGGTACATCCCTATGAACACTCCTGTTCAAAGAAAAAAACTTATGCTCTAGTCTAGATAAATAGGGCTGCCTGATAATAGATGCAGGAAGTGGCTATTGATCATGACAGGCTGTCCCCCTGTCAACAGTGAAAGAAATTTCTTATAATGACAGGTAAGTGTGCCATACAGGGTTATCAAACTTGGAGATTCAAGGACAAATCTAAAATGAAAGGGGGGAGTAGTGTAACAGTGGGGTTCAAGCACCAGGCCAACAGGTCTGGACCTTTTGCATTCCAATTCGTAAGCTGGCTGCCCGGGTTTGCCGCAGGTTTGATTCCCGAGAGCCAGGGTAGATGTAACTCGCCTCTTGTTTCACATCATATCCAGCAGCTGACCACACCTTCACATGTAATATCATGGTTCTTCCACAATTTTTTGTTTAGGTGTCAATGGACAGACGACACCAAGTCCGACTGGAGGTAAGTGACAACTTATTTCAACAGTAGAACTAATTTTCAATCTGTTTTATCCAAGTTGCAGTGACTCCACAGGACTCCTTTGACTTGTTCTACATTAAAAACGCTGCAATGTTTGTATACACAAATTCAAGTTTACCTGGCAGCTTCCTGGTTAGGCCATACAGCATTGTGGCAATACATTAGTCATAGTCATGTGAATACTAACTCTTCTGCTTAAATAAGCTGTCACCCGCTAGTCATATAGGTATATACCTAGACGTGCCATACGCAAGGTGGCGTATACCTTCTTCTGTAACATGCATGTACTTTATGATATGGTGCCTTTTTGTTGAGCTGTTTCTGCTTGTTAATGCATGCTCTTGTGTACTACTGGTAGTTGCTCCTAGAATTACCTCCACCTGGGACAGCGTCATACAGCTGAACTATGGGGACAGTCTGGACCCCCTGGACTGTCGGGCAGAGGGCACGCCTACGCCGGCTGTCAGCTGGCAGCGAGAGGGGACGTCCCAGGTTTTAGACAACCCCATTAGCTTCCCGTACACCACATACACTCAGGAGGGCACCTACACCTGTGTCGCTACCTCACCCGACTTCCCTCCTGCCTCAAAAAATGTCACGATAGACGTTACAGGTACACACACACTACCAGCAGTTATGTCATTGCTGTAGTCAGTGTAGTGGTAACCTGGCTTTGTTGTTTAGCTTGATAAGTAGTAGTAAAGTACTGACAAATGCAGATTAGGCATTTTGCACTCATCACGGTAGGCCAGTAGCCTGGCCTGAGTGTCAGCCTTGTTAAATTTCATCCACTCCCAAAAATCTGTTACCAGTTGGCCGGTAGCGGATTTTGTGGAGCAGACAAAAGCTAACAAGGCTGACACTCAGGCTAGTAGGCCAGGGCATAGATTGGGAAATTTGAATCCTTAATGGCCATCCCATGGAGGAATTTGACATCTTTCATCTTGTAGTGCTGCTTGGTATATGTACGTGTATTTGACTGAGTGGAACTACATTACTGTAATCAGCTTCTATTAGCATTGTACCCTTTTGCTTATGCAGGCTATGATTGTTCTTGAAACCTTTTTTTATCAGAAGATATGATTTCTGTCCTTGCTCTTACTTTAAAATTATAAATTGTAAATTTTTAGTAAAGTTTTGGTAAAGTTCACCTCTTAATTCTTTGAATTTTGAATGCAGGGCCGCCAGCAATCTTGGGTCCTGAAGTTGTAGATCTAAGTGACCAGAAAGGTCAGCAAGTCCGGATGGAGTGCAGAGCCAGAGGCGACCCACCGGTCAGCCAGTTTGACTGGTTTGTGGGGCGTGGCCGTGCACAGCCGGTACAGAGTGAAGGAAACCCGGATTACAGCCTGGAGGAAGATTTAACTGGCTCCCCGGCCACGAGTACACTCACCATCATGAGCCTGAAGGACTCGTTGGCTGATGAGTATGCCTGCTGGGCCATGAACACGGACGGGCAAAAAGACATGAAACGGTTCAATGTCAAGATCTCAGCCCCAGGTGTGTCCAGATTCTGTAACCTATGTATGACAATTAGGGCTGTACTATTTGGAAAGTAGAATTTTTTCTTTACGTCTTTCTTAATTTGATACTCATGCTTTTTCTACCCCATCCTTAACAAACTTTGCTCCATCTGAATAGTTGTTCCAATTGTAAGTCCACAATCCTTGTTTTCTTTTTTTTGGGGGGGGGGGCTTTTTCTTTGCTTTTAAACTCTTTCTTTCCTTTTAAAGGAAGTAGTATTTCGCTAGTATTAGATGGAATGACCTGGAACCTAGTGCTGTGATGTATAGTACATGGTCATATTAAAACTTTCTTTTTTGGTATGATTTTTTTTATCATAAGCTCTGTTAAACATTTTAGTAACGGTCAATGTGATATGATGTAAGAATTCTTTGTTTACAATCATAGATAGACCAGTGTAACCGTTAATGTCTTTTGATTCCAGCGGGTCGAACGGGTATTACAGCGAAAGATGGTGCGATTGCAGGAGGTGTGGTCGGAGCCTTAGTGATCATGACCATCATAGCTGTGATCGTCTTCTACTTTTGGAAGAGAAAACAGCCTAAGGTAAGGACTGTTCTACAGTATAAACAGGGAAGGGAGATGTATATAACATATTTGTATCATTGTTTTACTTGTTTCTGTGGTTCTGTCTTGTGTATAAATCATAATTTGTATCTGCATCTGGAAAGCCATATAACTGCATGCCCTTTGCCCCTTCAGTATTCTTGATTTCGTTCCTTATTTAGAACATAACACTATGAAGAGTCAATACCATTGTACATTGTATTGTGTAATGTTACTTGATTGAAAGCTGTTCCTGTTTTTCTTCTTTAGAGTAGAACTGACGCAGATGGTAACAACTATGAATTCCATGAGCTGTGAGCACTAACCTGAAGACTGATGTCTGGAGCATGAGACTGTGAGGGACAGAGCAGCTTGCCACTACGATGCTTGCCATAGCAAAAAAATATAAGGAAAAGGAAAGTGTTAAAGATCAAAATATGTCATTAGAGAAACAGTGTGGAAACGAATAGAATTTGAACAAAAAAGTTGGCATAAAGGGAGTTCAATGAAAGTAGATTTAAATGAATTATGGTGGCTTAACACTAGATTAGGATAGAAGAATATTTGAGGTTAAACAAAGAAGACAAGTAAAAGTTTGGAAGAAAGTTGCAGACTTACAGTTTGGCAGGGGTATCTAGTATGCTACCGTTTGGCTGGCTGAAAAAAAGATCCCAGCACTAAAAAGATAGTTCGATAAAAATGCCTAAAAAGACGTAAAAATTGAGCTGAAGGCTAAAACTCTGCTTGGAGAGTAGAATTTGCCATGCTAGGGCCAATCAAGGTAGATTTTTGATGCTGTGAGTTTGAACAGAAGGTGTGAATATTTATAGTAAATCAAGCTTAGCTTGAAAGAAGAATGTCATGACTAGTGTTTTAATCTTTGGTTGTGGGAGTGATAGTTTTGGTGTTAGGTGTACCAAGGACATTGTATACAAATAATGTTGTACGGTTCCGATGTACACACGTATGTATCAACATAGGGATTTTAGAATTCACCTTAAGGAAAGCACTCTTATATCAGAGAACAGAGAGAAGTTTGTGTTTGGTGTAATATGTACATTTTGTACATGTGTATAAGGGAAAACATGTTGCAAGCACTCTATGCACTATATACAAAGTGTAGGACATGCTCACAGTGCTTTAAATTCCTGTGCCTGTTGCAAAAGTTATGTGTAAAGTGAGGCCTTAACAAATTATATATTGCAAGGACATTTAACTTTTGATACTCTGTTTATCTGTGTTAAATCCTTTTTTGTGTCCTCTTTGGCAACTTCAGGGTTCAACCCTTTCTAAGAAAATTAATCTTGTAAAAGATATGGAGTGTTGTATCAAACTGTAGCACAGATGCTAAAAAATGTCAATGATTCTATACACAGAATTGGCCATCGTATTACGCAGTGATGAGTGCACAGCACTAATACGTATTATTATCTCAGGTCAGAATGGATGAAATCTTACGCTAGAAGTGCTCTTGATATTAAACTTTGGAAGCAAGTAATGCTAGCAGTGGTATGATGTTAGTACCCCCTGTGTTCCTATCGTGTATCATAACTCCACAATAAGCCCCAAAATTAACACTTTCAGAAACAAGATATTTTTTATTCTTTGCCTGAAATGTCACACCAGCCATTTCCCATTGTGTTCCCTTTTACAAATATCCCATGTACATGTACACATACCAGTACTAATGTCCTGCCATGTGCATATTACATAAAGCTATTAGCAAACAGATATATTTCTGTATGGAGGCAGTAACTGAGGTTGATGCTTATATCTATCTATGTCATTATTTATTCCAAGATATTTGCCTTATGAAGATTTGTATATATATTATCAGAAGCAGTTTTATGGAATGGCAGGCCACATTGCAAGCACATAGTTTTCATAGAATGATGTTTAAATGGTATAATGAAGCACAATTGATAATTATTTCCACTGGTGATTTAGATGATATCTTTTTCACGTTTGCATCTCTTTTGATTATACAAATTATGTAGTTTGAGCTTGCATGTTGCGCTAAAATTGCCATTTGCTTTGTGCACATCTTTTCATCATATTGCCAGGTGTTTGTATATATCTGTTTCTTACAGAATGTTTAATACAATTTTAAATATATACATCTTGTATATGTTGGACGTAAAAGATGATAAGCTATCACGTATCACGTACAATGTAACATTCCTAGTCTAAGATTGCTTCAATATATCAATCAGTATATCAGAAGTTTCAATATTGTTCAGGGTATAAGCAAGCCTTTTTCTTTGATTAAAAATCCCCACATGTATGTAGATGCTTTGAATGTATGCAGTGATTTAGAAAATAAAAAGGTCTGAAGAAAAAGATATTATGTGGAAGTTCATAGTTCTATAGTGACTCATCATAAGTGATTATTTCAGTCCTGGTTGACAGCATGTTGAGAAGTGTCGAAGAGTACTGCTTGTCGCTAGTTTCAGTTTGTACTGATCAATCCATACATCCAAGGTGTCACCAACATATCAGTTTTACAAATATCGGGTGATTGAATAGCTATCCATGAATCACGATTGTCTCCAATCGCGATTTGATCCCGATGCGTTCACACGTGTCTGCTCAACCAATAGCAATTGTGATCCTTCCGCACGGCAATTGCCGTCGATCGCGATTGAATCCACCTCCCATAGGTGGATTTGATTAATCGCGATTCAATCGAGATTGGTAGCCTCCTGTGCAGGCCCCGCGATGGTGGGAAAGAGTTTTTAACGCGTTATATATAGCCGCGGGGCCTGCACAGGAGGCTACGAGTTTGGAATGTTCAGATTTAGAAACATCAATTGCGATTCGAAATCCAGTCTGAACGGGGTGTTAGTCACAAATCGAAAGGGTTGGAAAAAACATATGAGTTTCTCGCTTGGAAATTAAGAAAAATATCATCTTATAGGCTATGGTACAACAAGACGAGTCTCCGTGCACTGATGTTCGACTGGCATCAACCATGGATGCATCAACAGACGGTGGAAGAGTACTTCTCCGAATCCGATTGTACGAAGCCCATCCTGTGCAGGCTCTGTACCGTGTGGAGGACCACCACGCCACCTTGCGGTAGACGTGGGAACAACTAGTTGATGGGGGCCACCTGTTTGCCTTTCGGGTATGCTGAGAAATTATGACAATACAGTTTTTGGGGAACAAAGTACCATTTTTCATATCACTGCTTGGATATCCTAGATGTGGTGGTTTTGAGCACTTATCATTAGCACATTCGTATATTTGCAGAAAGAAGAGGCGCGGGAAAACTCAAATATGTCTCACCGAATCTGCTTGGAGATTAGCAAGAGTGCTACAAGGAGGATTCGGAGACGGGAAGACTCACTCTCGACTTCTATTCGCAAACGCCGAACGTCCACGCACACCCTGAGATGAGATCGGCAGTCCTGGAGTACTGCCTGAGCAATTCGACATCGGTGGAGGATAACATCCATTTCAAAACATATACCGCGGCTATCAACGCAAGTAAAAATGCACAGAAGTGATAAAAACTTTATAAGTACATGTCTACGCGTGTACATGTTGAAAGGCTGATCTCTAGATCTGGTATCATAGATAATAGGAGGATGGTGTCGAATTTGAAGTTCAAAACGTACACATACACTTCCATTAAAAGAACACGAAGTTGATATCAAGACGACATGGGTTTGCCACATTGGACACCATTGTAATCACTCTGTATATGACAATATATAGAACAACATATATTTCGTGTACGATTTTGGGTATGTTGTATATGAATGATGATATTGACCTACGGAGGATCATGTAATATTCATAGATTTCTTCAGTATATCAGAGATGTATTTTATTGCTATGTTGCTGTGGGAACGTTATCCTTTCCAACACTAACACCTCTAAGTCAGAAGCATTGAGAACATCTAAATTCTGTTGATTTGTGTATACCATATAATATACAGAGGTTGGTGGGGAAGATTGTGACCTTTCGGTCATATCATTATCCACTGTATTCTCCGTCTGCAGTCTTGCGAAAACGTCCCGCACGCAGCTGCATTCAGTCTATGTCCCGTTTTATTTCTGTCACATCCCCCCCCCCCCCCCACTTGAGTAGCGACAGAAAGGGCAAGTGATAGAAAGGTCTTCCCCGCCAACAATTTTTCATGGATGTAACGTTAATAAAAAAAAACGCTGTCCTTTACTTTATGACATCTTGATTTACAAACACAACATCATAGGAAAAACGCTACACCCATCGAGTTCAGCACACGCACTGGTTTATTTTCAATTGAGCCGTTTGGTGGGGACCAACAAGCTTTGAACGACCGTAGTCTTATTAGCTTGTTGTTCAGGCGCAAGCCATCCAGCTGGCGCGTGCCTTCACCACGTGCGACGTGGCCCAGGTCTCTATGCGGATGGTCATGCCGTTGGTGCGCACGGACACCGCGGCCACGTCGATGCGTGTGTTGGTGCCGGGGTTGTGGTCCAGGTGGGTCAGGCCGACGGTCACTGTCGGTGTGCTGCTGAAGGAGCGGGCGAAGTAGGCCGGTATCTCCATGTAGCGGAGACCGGATCCGGAATTCAGGTTCGAAGTTCCCGCCGGGATCTCCACGGACCCCGAGTCACCTGGAGCGAGGTAAGGTATAGTTATATATTTTACGCTGTACCTGCCTAAAAATGTACAGTCAAACCTGTGCAAGTGGCCACCTTTGTATAAGGGCCACCTGGCCAATGTGATTGTCTGTGGCAATTAGTAGCTCAACCAATGATAGCATAGCAATTATTCATAATTTATTGTCTCGACCAACGAGAGAGTGGCTGCTGAATGTTACTCACATGCCAGTACGCTCCTCTCCTGCAGCTGGCGGAGCTGGGTCTTCATGTCGTGGAGTTCGCCTTGCACGTCCGCAAGCTGCGTCTCCAGGGAGATGGACGCTGTAGTAAATACAAATGCGTGCTGAACATACACACAACGTCTTCACAATAATGTACGAAAATGTAGCCGCTTTTCCGAGCGCCAGTTTCTCGTTTTCTATAAACAGCTCGTGACAGAGCCTCGCATCCTACTCACTCTGCTTTGAACAGCACAATCGGCCGCTGCTTTTACAAAATTTATTTAGGTAATCGTCTTTTATAACAATATATTAAATGTCAATACCAGAAATGTTTTCTTTTGTACAGTTTTGATAGTATGGGGATACTAGATCATACTAAACAGAATATTCGGCACTCGTCATCGTTGGAGTGTACATTGAGTTTCCTACCCTTCCAATCTTCTCCACTATAATGTTAAGAGTATGTACTTAGCTTTTTCCACTGCGTAAGTTGTACACATTCGTGAAACTGTGACCAAAACCAGGGATATCGATTCAAGCAGCACAGTACAGACCGCCACGGAGTGGTAAAATTAGACTCGTAATAGCTATACATAACTGCTACATATAGCAAGAAAGTTCAGACAAGCTGAATTTTAATTTTAGTTTAAAAATTTGCAAGTGGAAGACATCGTCACACCTACCTTCCGCATTCGAGTCTGTGGCTGCTGAAGCCGCTATCACGGGCAGGACGCAGAGGAAGATGTAGGCTGGTGTCTTCATCGTGGTCGCCGACGCTTTCGATTTCGCAAGTCTTCTTGCTTCTTCACTAGCGAGATTATCATGTTCTTTTATACCGTCGGAGTTACAGAAATAAACATTGCTACCTGTTTGCACACAAGTTCGTCCGTTTCCCGTGTGATATGGTAGTCAAACATTACATAAGATATTTTTCTCTCACTCCTCACCAGAAAAACATGCATTTATCGCAATAAATCCTGATGAAAACCCTGCTTGATTATATTGCGGGGGGAGTATAGTACAAAAATGTAAGAGCACCTTTGACAAGTCTTAATAACCAGTAGCCGCTTTGTCGTTTGCAGACATGATGGTTGCCGCGGTTGTGTTTCTGTTTCTGTTTACTTGACAACACTGTATTAGCGGCGGAACATTTCCCCGGCCCAGTCTCTAAATGTGAAGAGTCAAAGATATCTCGACCATGTGTACACTAATTAATATACATGTATATATAACGAAAATAAGAAAAAGTATAGATATTACTAGGAATATCGCAATGGTTGAATCCTAATGATAATACGCATGCGATGCATACAGTGCAATGCAAATGACTAATGAAAGAACTCACAAATACACAATGCATCAAGATCTACGGTAAGCTCCAGATATACATGTAATCTGTGCGCACGCAATGTTGCTACGCCCGACGCTGTCGTTCTGATGAGGTAACTTACAAGTAAGTCTTCAGTGTGAGCTTCCCTTGATTTCACTACTTTTATGACGGAGCAATAACCACTTGATTCAATCTTTGTTAGATTGGTTATTCTTAATTCCATGTGATATCCAGCCTCCACGGTGCTTTAACTGAACTGAACTAAACTAAACGGTGTTTTGCCTGACATTGTCCCATCGCTACTGTGTTTTTGTTTCTTTTTCTTCTCAATATTTCCGGAGGCCAACAAAACAGTCCGTGATTAGCAAAAATAACAACACCAAAGAAAAGATAAACGCATTTTCAAACCACCAGGCGTAAAACCTGCTCTGGATGTCGGCAGTAGCTTTTTCAAATTTCATGGGTAAATATATGAAATCAACTTGTGACCGTTCTATGTAACAAATTTTCAAGCGTTACATTTCAAAGCATGCTTTTCTCTGCTTATGGCGTGTATAGTCAAGACCGGCTTGACTTCAATCGTTGTTTCAAACTCTTTATGTCTGTGTCACCACTGAGATTAGCATTGACCAATGCTATATCAAGTATGCATGTCTTATCTAAGCTTTCCGTTCAGATGACGCTATTCTATTGATAGATGTTTTGAAGGTTTTTGATAGTTACTGGTCAAAAACATGTTTTTCAGATGACATGTGAAGCTGAACAAATGGTGGACCTCTGGTGCCACGCCTACAAACTTCTGACCAATCAGCTCTGTTCTGCAGCACACGTGACCGATAACCGAGTTGCGCAGTAGAGATTCTCGCTATATACATCGTCATCAAAACAGCCACCCATTTAGCTTATTCGGCGCTTTAAGACGGATGTTGATTGAACCTTCGGATTTGTGTCACTCTACAAACACAACCCTGGAGGCAAAACATCTTTCAGCGGTAAACCAACATCAACTGTACCAATACAAGATCTAGAAATGCCCATATAAGGTGTGATGTTATTCTGACATATGTTTTCACGATCACCTTGACCTTTATTGATGAAAATGAGGCAGAGATGGAAATTTGTGAAATATGAGATCAGACATAAAAAGATGATCCTAGTCAAGTATGACTTCATATTTTACAAGAATGCAGGTTTGTGTCATACTGCATTGACATCTTTTTTTTAATCATGTAAAGAGGTACAGGTCAGCCCTACATCTTCTGAAATGATCATCTTTTAGTCTGGAACCGTATATAAGTCGCATGCGTCCCACTACGTAAAGAACCAGGTGCGTAAGACACACAATGTAGTGAAACAACGGGAATATACAATGACATTTAGTTTCTCTAATTCTCAACAGAACTAGTTGGACTTACTTATACTATGATAGTACTGATCTTTTCAGGACTTAGTTCTTGATCATTGAAATATTAGTGAACTTGCATTTTTGTTTCACCGGCAAGCACTAAAGAGGGTCGAGGCAAAAACGATATCTCAGTGATTTGGAGAATAGAAATAGGCACAGTCATCGGCATGCGATAGAGTGAATACGTTGCGATTGCATCCGTAGCTCACCAACCTCTTTAGCAAAATTTTACCCAAGTCGACCAATTTCTCTACGTTTTATAACTTCAAATGGTTCAAATAAGTTCAAGTAGTGGACACTATAAAAGATCGGCAAAATTCCATCAAATACTTAGGAATATCTAGGAATATTTTATGAAAAGTATTTAAAAAATGCCTGCAAAGGTTTTCGATACGATTTAGCGTCTATGTTTTCATACACGATTAAAAAAAAAATACAGAATAGGATAGTTGTCTTCACGCTTATCTGTTTTGTAGCCGTCTTAGATTATAACCTTATGACGTCTAACACTGCTCCAGAAAAGAAGACGCGTAAGAGGAATAAACCTTAATTTGACCGACAACAAAACACTGTTCAAAGCAGGTTAGTGCTTATATAGCAGTGTATTTGGGTGAAGAAAAGGTTCAGTTTTGAGCACCGATCGCTAGTAATTTACAGCAAAATGATGTTCAGAATATCAACATGGCTGCAAAGTAAAATTGTTTTAGGGCTCAAAGTCTTCTGCAGAGCATAGCATTGAGCTTTAAAATCGACGAGTTCCTTAGCACTCACTAACCTATACATGGTTTTGTGAGTAGATCTAGACTTAATTAAATTTTAAAGAGCTCACGGCCAAGATTATTGTAACAGAATTCTTTTATCATCCATTATAGCCATCCTATTTTCTTTGCCCCATCATGCCCATACTGTACTGTTACCTTTAAGAAAACGAAACCGATTTCGAAAGTTGCCCGGGCAAACATATGGCTCACATGCTATCTAACCCAAGCCTTTTCTTTTATAACAATATCATGCAGGTGCATGTTTTGTGAGAATATTTCTGCGGATTTTTACCACTGAGAAATAACCAATTTGTGTCTTTTTTGACAGAAAAGTGAATTTTTTCCAATCACAATTTGTAAAAATTAGAGAGCTCAAAGTAGTTTCGACGCACAGCTGAATTGACATCATTTCTTCTCATACATAATGCTTATTTACGAATGATTCCCTGGGTACTAGTACAATAATGTATGTCGACGTCCAATATGATCTCTAGATTTGACAGTGTGCATTCTCAGCGAAGTGAGATGTGAGATTTTAGTCCATGAAGTTGTTTTGAAAGACGGGAAAATGTTACCTGCTGCGAGCCTCCTATGCTGTATGTGTGATATATGACCTGCCCGTAACCGAAAATAGCTTACGCAGTAACTAAAAGTACCATATCGATCGTGATACGAGGCAAATAGTTACGCTTAGTAACCAGGTTTACATAAAGATAAATAGCTTGCCCTTGCACCAAAGGTGGAATGTGCCAACGATGATAGATACTGGGTAAGGGCGCTATTCTCGTCAAAACAACACCCTAATCTCCTAGCAGATCATACGGTGGCAAGGCAGTACCCCTTGGCCAGAGAAGTGTCCGGCTGATGCACACTCCTTTAGTCTGTCCAATGGGTACTGCCTTGCCACCGTATGATCATCTTCGAGATAAACAACGCCCCCATTTCATAAATAGACTCGTCTGATATTTCCCATGATCCTCTGCGGTGGGTTTTGGCGTCTGCTGCAGGGACAACGTAAACATACCGGAGGGTTTCCAAGGTTTCTGTACGACATCTAAGAAATTGGCAGCCTACTTTAAGACGACCATACCAAGGAGCTAACAACAAGCAAAAGGTGTGTTTGTGTGAAGTTATAGCGCCACAGATATGTATGTACGGTGTAGAAATCTCTGGTTGTTTACTCAATCGGGACCTTTAAAAATGGCGTCTGCTCGAAGAAAAACAACAACCGCAATATATTTCGATATTTCGGCTGCTGTTTGAAATGGTGACGACTTCTGTTGGGAGTACATAGTGCTGTAACAAACATTCTGTCATACAATGAAGATTTGCGGGTTAGCATATGTTGGTAAAGTGTGTTAAATCGTAGCAAGGATAGGCTCTTTGATCGTAGGGAGAGCCGGACGCTTATATGTGTCATGGAAAACGACACCCGACATTCGGCAACATATTTGGCAACACATTGACTCTGATTTTGTTGTTTCTTTAGCACGAATTGTGGAAACGTTCTTTTTTGCTCTGTAAACACCCGGGAAGAGAGAAAACGTGGGCGTGTCCAAAAGACTATACATTTGTAACAGCAGTGCAAGGGGAACGCCCACCGCTGCTTGAGTCTTCCATCAAGATGCAAGATTTTCTATAAACTAAAAAATTGATCTTATTGACATTGAGGAAGACCACAGGGACTGGTCGAAAGATCTTAAGGTTAGAACATTTACCTTTTGTGTTGGAAGAAAGGTTATTACCTTTAACAAGGTTGTGACTTCTATCTCCAGGTGAGATACTTTGCTGCCATGGTGCACGTGAAGGTCGGGCAGGTGTCAGATACCAAAGCTGCTGGCACATGTCTAGATGCCATCACCTACCTGCCCCCAGAAATGGGACTGGCAGTTTTGGAGGTGAGTTTTAGAGATGTCGCACTATACAGTTGTTATGCTTGTACATATTACAATTAACATCTTATGCTCTGTGATGGTCTATGACGTAACCAAAACATGGCCAGACACTTTGAGGGTAAATGGTTATAACTATGTTCTGTTTGAAATTCTTCTTGTTTTTTATCCTGTGACAGAGACTAGATGTCCCCAGCTTGTGTCGTGCTGCTCAGACTTGTTCCTCCTGGAGTGAGTTCATCAGCGACACTGATTGGCTGTGGAAGAAGGTGTGTCAGAACTGCCAGGACATCGACCCCAAACTGGTGGAGATGGACCGTGCAGAGGGACTACCATGGAGGGTAAAGGACACAGAACCATATTTTTTTATTTTTGCAAAATATATGCAGTAGGGGTAGCCGGGTAAGGTTAGCAGTGGGGGTAGGGTTTGAGGTGAAAAACATTGAAAGGTTCTTGATATACAGGTAGTAATTCATGTATTAC